TTTCTCTTTTTCTTTACATATTTCTTTCCTTTCCCCTTTATCTTTTCCTTACCATTTTTCTTTTCCTTACCATTTTTCTTTTCCTTACCATTTTTCTTTTCCTTACCATTTTTCTTTTTCTTTTCCTTACCTTTTTTTCTTTTCCTTCTCCTTTCGCTTTTCACTCTTTCTTTCCATTCCTTTCCATCTTTCTTTGCCTTTTTCTTTTCATTACCATTTTTCTTTTCCTTTTATTTTTTTTTTCCCTTTTCTTTTCCTTTCTCCTCTAACTTTTTAATTTCTTTTACATACATTATTTCACTTTTCCTTTCTCTTTTCCTTCCTTTCCCTTTTAATTTCTCTTATTACCTTTTCTTCTCTTTTCCTTTCCCTTTCCCTTCTTTCTCTTTTCCTTCCTTTATCTTTTAATTTCTCTTATTCTTCCTCCTTCTTCTCTTTCCCTTTCATTACCATTTTTATTTTCCTTTCTCTCCCTTTCTCTTCCTTTCCTATTTTCTTACCCTTTCCCCTCTTCCTTTTTTAATTTCCTTTCCATAATCATTTCTCTTAGCCTTTTGATTTCTCATATTCTTCCTCTTTTCCTTTCATTACCCTTTTTCATCTCCTTTTTATTCCCTTCTCTTTTATTACCTTCCTTTCCCTTTTCTTCTCCTTTCCTTTCCCTTCTTTTTTTTCTCCTTCCTTTCCCTTTTAATTTCTCCTATTATATTCCTCTTTCTGTTTTTCTCTATTCCTTTCCCTTTCATTGCCATTTTTATTTTTATTTTTTTCCTTTCCCCTTTTCCCTCTTTCCTTTTTAATTTCCTTTCCTTATTCCTTTTTCTTTCTCTTATCCTTCCTCTCTTTTAATTTCCTTCCCCTTTCTTCTCTTTTCCTTTCCCTTCTTTCCTTTTTTCTTTCTTTCCATTTAAATTTATCTTATTAACTTCCTCTTTCTTCTCAATTCCCTTCCCTTCTCTTTTCCCTTTGATGACCATTTTACTTTCCTTTTTTCCCTTTCCCCTTCTTTCCATTTTCCCTCTTCCCTTTTTAATTGTTTTTCTACATTCCTTTTTCTTTATCTTTTCCTTCCTTTCTCTTTTAATTTCTCTTTTTACCTTCCCATTTCTTCTCTTTTACTTTCCCTTCTCCCCCCCCCCCTTTCCCTTATAATTACTCTTATTACCTTCCCCTTTCTTCACTTTTCCTTTCCCTTTCATTTTTTCTGTCCCTTTACATTTTTTACTTTTCCTTTTACCTTCATCTTTTCCTTTACATATTTCTTTCCCTTTTCCTTTCGCTTTTTCATTTCGCTTCTCATTTCTCTTCTCATTTACTCTCCTTTTTATCTTTCCTTTTTATCTTTCCTTTTTATCTTTCCTTTTTCCTTCCCTTCTCCCTTTTCCCTTGCCCTTAAAAATTGTAAATCTCGCATGTATCTTCTAAATATTTTAAAGGTAATATTGAAAATAATATTAATAGTTGTTAGGAAGTAAAAACTTATATTCAAAATGATTACTTATCTTCCTCATTTTTAGCGTTTAAAAAACAAATTTAAATACAAGAATTTACTTCCTTAGCATCTATTAATAATAATATTAAATTTACTTTAAAAATTTTCTAAGATATATAAGCAGGATTCCCACATTTTTTTTATTTTTAGCTATTTTTATCTTAGCTATTTAGAACGGAAACCCTTTTTCTGCCCTTGATGATGAGAATATTATTCTAAGATCCAAATGTCTTTTGCACCAATATGTTTTGGACAGTTATGCCAAACAGAAAATGCTTCGATTAAATTCTATACGTAATAATCAATCCAAATTACACACAGAACTCTATCAAAGCATTCATGATGCTATTTTAGAGAAGGATACTAATACTGACACTCTTGGCAGAAAAATCATTTTGTCTTCTTTTACCCATGGCCCAAGGCATATGCATCAGCTTTATCAGGGCGCGATGACTATTTTACACTGCTTTGGTAAGCCCTCATTATTCATTACTTTTACCTGCAACCCTAAAGGAGATAAAATAATGCGTGAATTATTTCTTCATCAGATTCCAAACGACTGGCATATTTGTCGCTTTTTCATCAAAAATTAAAATGTCTTAAAAAGGATTTGCTCAAAATTTAAACGGATATACCCCTATAATAATTATTCCTCATCATTTTTTAAAAAATATATAAATAAATGAAATTATTTTATTAATATTGAGTTGTATATTTTTAATTTAAATAAATAGCATTTGTTGTTTCTTAACAAAAAGATATGGCCCTTATCAAATTCTTTGATAAATAATTTCGGAAATTCAAGATATTTAAAATTATTATGGGTTGGACTAGGGTTGATAAAAAATTTTCAAAACTATTTTGGGCTGGGCTTGAGAAATATTTTAAAAATTATTAAGGTCTTGGAAGCTTGATAATTTTTTAATATATAGAAAAAAATTTTTGCAGACCTGGGTCGGGTCTGATTGAAAATCCACGAAATGCATTAATATTTTTAAATGCATTAATATTTTTTAAAAATTTTATTTTAGTTCTGAACTACCAAAATTTATGTTCTTGGACCTGAGAAATTTTTTCAAAATTATTGTGGGCTTGGACTTGGCTTGGAATTTTTTAATATTAAATATTAGCCATAGGTAATCAGTAATATTTTAATAAAATAATTTGATATGGGTCTCAAGTAAATAATTTAAATATATTTTGACTCACAAAATATCACTCTTAGTCTTAAAGGGTTGGACTTGACCTGAAGGGGAGGAGGTAAAAGAATAAAAATTGGATATTGTTTTTAAATAAGCGTAACATCTATCGAAGAACGAAAAAAATTCTCATTCCCCGTCATTTTTGACGGGCTATCTACTAGTTATCATTATTATGATACTCTCCTCATAAACTTTAAAATGAATAACTTAAATTATTAATGCTCTATTACCAACTGTCAAAAGTTAACGTTAAAGGAATAATTTTTTAGAACAGGAATTCAATTAAAAACCCCTACCTATACAATAAAGATGTAAAAAAATTTTTAAAATTATTTTAAAAATAACTTTTTTTTAGTTAACATTATCTAAAATTACCTTTTTTAGCTAATATTATCCAAAATTACCTTTTTGTAGTTTTATTTAAAAAATAAATTCAGATAGTGTGCACTGTATAGATTTGGTAGAAGTTTTGCAATACTCTTGTGTTATAAAAGTCCATAATAAAAGCATTAATTTTTAAAGCAATACATTTTACCCTATTTCATCTAAAATTTAATAAATAACCACCCCACCCAGTAAATTAACACTACCTCTAGCATACCACTTTTAAATGCCAACCTCCTACCACCTTCAAAAGAAATTTGATGCATGTTTTTACCCCTATCGTTTAATTTAGTTTTCTTTTCTATTTTTTTCAATGGAAGGGAAGGATTCTGAAGGGCATGGAAAAAGCTGGAAAAGAGGAAATGATAAGGGGAAAAAAAGGAAAGAGGGCGAAAGGAAAGGAGGAGAAAAAAAATGAGGGAAATAAAGGTGAAGATAAGAGAAAGGAGGAATAGGGAGATAAGGGGAGTAAAAGGGATGGAAGTAGATATGAGGGGAAGGAAAGAGGAAGGGATGAGAAGGGAAAAGGAGGCTAGGGGAAGGAAGGGTGAGATGAGAATGGAAGTGAAGCTAAAGGAAGGGAAGGGATGAAAATGGAAAGATAATAAAAACACCTTCAAAGGTGGGTGGGGGATCTCTGATAATGCAATGGAAAGAAAAATATATTAATTTATTATAATGTTTGAATCAAATATAAAATATTGTATAAATTACATTTTTGTACATACCAATCAATTTAGTAACGAATGTTCAAATTGCATTGGCCATATTATATTATATTATAACCCCCCCCCCCCCCCGCCCCATTTCTTTGAAACACATCTATCTAATATTTTCTCACACTGAGTACAAAATTTCTTAATAATCAAATTATTTATATATTTTTTTTCACTTGATTGAAATTACTAATTGAATTTAAAAAAAGGAAAAGTTTTTAAAATATCGGGAATGTTTTGTATTATATTTTGTAGTAAATAGATTAAAATTTATTTTAAAAAAATCAAAATTATTGTCGAAATTTTATAAATAACATTAAATATTTTAAAATGATTTTAGATATTGAGACATATCGCCTAATTCTCTATAAAAATTTAATCTGTGGGTTGGTCCTAGATTTAACTTCTTACCACTGGGTTTTGGGTTGTTCTTGTTAGAAAAAACAATTTAGCATATTTTTAAACAAGATTCTGTTAAAATTTTGGTGTACTAAAAACTGGAGTCATTTTACACACCCCCCCCCCCCCTCTACAAATTTTTTCTTAGCAAAATTGCTAAATAAAACCCATTATATTTATTTTTTATTCAGAAATAATGTATATTATTTTAACAAAATTTATGACAATTTTCGCAATTTCAGTTTGGTATTTTAATACCTAATGAAAATAAATAATTTTAACAAATTTATTGCCAAACTGATAGGGGTTGATCAACCAATACGGCAATAATTATTTTCGGAACCTGTTTGATGACTGTCGTCGTTAATAGTGGTGTTAAAAACCCCGATTTTGTCGATTTAAAAAATGGCCAGATCAAGATTATAACCAAAATAACATTATGTAAGCCTAAATATTTTGCCATAGCTGGCAGAAATGCATGGAGATCTATTTGCCAAATCTCGATGCTTACATAATATTATTTTAGCTAAAATCTTAGTCCGTCCTTTTTGAAAAGTCGAACCAAATGTCTTTTTAACAAAATTAATAGTATTCCTATACCAATATATAGTTTAAATATATGAATATCCAGTATATATTGGCTAAATATTTATCATTTCTACAGGTTAGATATTTCCAAAATTTTACAGTTCTGGAAAGGAATATACTTCGACATTTTTTATTGAATTAATCTGGTGAATAAAGCCATAGAGGTTATAAAGTTTTGTGTCGTTCTTTCGATAGTTTAAAAATCAATATTTATTTTTAAGTTTCATGTATTTGCAAATTTAGAACTATAATTAAATTACAATTCATTCTTTTTTATATATGCCAGAAGTTACTTCGTCACTTTAAATTCGCATATTATGAAAAAATTATTTTAGAATATATGAATTAAAATGTGGTATATTGAAAATAAAGATTCAAAAGTTCCAGGTATATTAGAATCAATTAATAATATTATATAAAAGTGATAGGGGTAATTGGACTGCCCAATCTTGGAAATACATGTTATATGAATGCAGCGCTCCAAGCATTAGCAAATTGCCAGGCTTTGGCCAATTATTTTCTAAATTTTATTAATCAGGTTAAAACATGCAAAAAAAACGATCTTTCTTTAAGTTATTATAATTTGATTTGTGAGATATGGGACAATGATAGGTTATATATTACTAAAATTTGGAATTATTTTTGTATATAAAGGAATCCAACTTATTTGACACCACAAAATATATTGAAAATTATGAGGATGCATTATCCTCAGTTTAGAGGGTATAATCAATGTGATGCTCAGGAATTTTTACGCTGCTTTATGGATTTATTACACAATGAACTAAAAGAGAAAGTGCCTGCCATTAAGCCTAATAATTTTTATGATATTCGTAAGTTAGGATTATTTGCATATATTAAATTTTGAATATAGCTACCATGCCAAATCAACACTATAAAAAATTCTTTAATATACCAAATCATGTTTTAAATAAAAAATTACAATCTCAAAATTATTTTTTAAAATCAATTATTGATGATACAAGTAGCCAATCTTCATCTTTTGATTATGAGACATGTGATTCTGGACATGTTAGTGATGGCACAGAAGATTCTACATTGCGAAAACTAAGCAAAACGTCAGATATTCATAAAATGTCAGATTCCTTAAATTATTTAGAATTGGATAACATTCTATTTAATGGTGATTTAGATAAGACAACTATTAATTCATTGTCTATAGATGATGGTAACTTTTTATATCAATATTTTTTTAAATATATAAAATTATAGTGGATATCTTAATGCCAGAATCCACTTCAAATTGTACTTCTGTGACAAATTATCCCAATATAATAGTTTTGTATTAATTATTACATTTAAATAATATTTTTTTAGTGTAAAGAGTTAATGACCAATAAATCTGAACAAAACAGTTTGGATTTTACAAAAATATCAAATCAAAAAGGAAAAATTAAAAATAAATTTAAGAATTATTCAAATTATAATTTTATTACAAATGCTAAGACTAAAAACAAAACCAATAAACATTCAAGGATGTTAAACACGTTGAATACTCAAAGGAAATATAACAGGAAAAGAATGATTAATAAGAATAATAAACTTAGTATTATACAAGGAAGAACAGATGAAGATATTAATCCTCATATAAAAATTGAAACCTATAATTCTGGGAAATTGCTTCATAGATCAAATTTGATTTCTCAAAATTTAAATTTTGATGAAAATGCTCAAAATAATTTTAACAAACAATTAAATAACATGGATCTTATGTCTTCCAACTCACAGACCTCAACAAATTCCACTGATTTATTAAATCCCTGTAAATTAATTTAAAATAAATTTCTATTTAACTAATATCCTTTCCTATTTAAATAGCTCCCTCAATGACCTTTACATCTGGAAAAGTAACAAAAGAAACTCAGTCACTATCTAGCTCACCATTTATAAAGCCTAAAATCGATAGAGCAAACCTCTCAAATCAGCATGTTCATATTTCTCCAGGTTTTATTATTTCATAATAAATATATAGAACATTTTAGATTTAAATAAATTTATATTATATAATTTTTATTTTATATTAAAGGGAATTCATCTAAAATCACATATTCAAACAACTTCAGAAAAAATTTTATCAATAAAAGCATTATTTCTGACATATTTGACGGCAAAATAATGAGTACTGTGGAGTGTCTAACCTGTCATACGGTTTTAATAGATACATTTTTTTAATTAAGAGTTATTAATGAATTTATTATAGTATCAGGGTTGGGCAGATTTTTTAAAGTGGTATCCAAACGTACATTAATTTTGAAAATTTGGCCCACAACGATTTAGTAAAGTCAATTAGGTATAGAGATTATTTTGCTTAGAAACAATTGAGCATATGGCAATTTAGCGTAAAATTAAGTGATACTATCAAACCTGTTTAAACCGGTTCATAACGGTTTCTTAAATTATATTTATATAATTTAAAATATTTAAAAAATAAATAGTACAAATTTATATGTTATGATGTTATATGTTATATTAGTTAATTTATTATTTCTTTTCCATGTATATTAAGATAAAGAAATTCAACTAATTTATTTAATTTTCTTTCGTTTATATTTTTAAAGGTTAATATATTTTAATGAGATTATAAGGTTTCAACAAAATATTATATATAACGATTAAAAAATCTAAAACCTATAAAAATTGAACCGAATAGAATCGATATAAATTTATAAACTGTAATGAATCAATATAAATTTGCTTAAAAATACCGAAATGGAGCAAATCTTCAAACTTTTAAGCTAAGAACTGGAATAGAACTGAATTGTTATACCTATCTGTTCAACATTCTTATTTTATTATGTGTTAAAAAATTTTAATATTAATATTTGCCTATTTATAATATAATTTGATACACTCTGAGTTTATAATTTATAATTAAATTTTAATGTTAACAATTAAATTAGTATTTTATTTTTTAAAGCTAGATTTAATAATTATAAACGGTGTCAGAATTAATCTTATTATCAACAAAATATTATACTAAATCCATATTAATTAAAGAGAACAAAATGATACTAGAGATTTTTATAATTCCTCAAATTTTAACAATATTAAAATGATTTCTATTGGAGTTTATTAAACACAAATAAAAATTCCTAGATTTACATTAAATCATTTTTTTTTAAATTGGTCATTAATTAAAACTTATATTCAAATATAGTAAAAGTGATAAATTAAAATGTTTTCATATGAAAAAAAACAAACAATTATTTAATATACAAGCAAAAAAGAAAATTTATTTTAATCAATTTGATTTAATCATACCAATCCTACTAAAAATCCAGATTTGCTAAACTCTTACGACATATAAACAAATATAAATTTCATTAGAAAAAATAAAATTTTGATGTGAAATTTTTGCAGGACAAGATTATAATTTATATTAATTTAAAAAAAATAATATATATAATTTTACTTTGCATAACAAAGTTTGAACCATCTATTATAATTTGAGAAAGTTATACAAATTTTTATGGTGTTATTATTAATCTCAATAAAATTATTGCTAGTTGGGCTTGTAAAACCATAGTCTTTTGAACCACTATATCATAAATTATTTTTTTGAATTTATATATTATCTTTTAGTTTGTGGAATACATATATATCAAATTTCATGGGATGTTAAATGGAAAAACGAATGTCAATAAAATAAGCATCTGAAATTATTCTGGGTTTTTTGAATATTATTGAAAATTTATTAAGACAGGCTTGGTATAATATTCTTTTAAATACTGAAAATTATTTTAGTAAATAAAAAAAAATTGGACCTACCATGGAGATGAGTTTATATATAAATTTAGTATTATTAATGAAAATTACCGATTTGCTTTATTTTTACATGTTCAATTTTTGCGAGATAAATTATGCATTGGGCGCTCAGTTTCGAATGGTACAAATCAATAGATTTAATACCAATAATATTTGCTAGACAATTTGTCTTGGCATTCAAGTGGCATATTATTTTGCCTACTAGTGTTATTTTATTTTTAAATTATCGCTGCTCCAATTTGTTATCCGCATAATTGAGTAATGCCCAATTTTCGCTGCGTCGAATTGATTACGCTAAATTATCTCACTCCCACAGTGGCGTAGCTAGGATTTTCACATAGGGGGGGAGGGTGGTAAATTTTTTTTATGAACTCAATTGCTTATATCTTAGGCAATGTTAAACTTATTTTAAATATTTGAATATAACAAAATTTTAAAGAGTATTTCATTATAGATTTTATTTATTTTATATAAATACTTTAGCATTAATAACATTCCTATATTTAATCATTATTTTTATTATTTAAAATAAGTTTCAAAATGTACATATTTTATACAGAACAGACTATAATATTAAAAATTTTATTTTATAAAGACTCTAAAAAATGTAATTTAACAATTAAATAAAATATAAGTAATTCTTATGCAAATAATGGTATTTAAAAAAATATGACGATATTATATAAATATAAATAATACACAGTACTTTGATTAAAAATAGTGTTAATTGCATAAATTTTAAGAGTTATTATAAAAATTATATAAATGTTATAACTAAGAATTTATTTTAAGAAAAAATTTGATTATAAATATGGTCTACTTTTCTCTGAGATTTTGCTAATTCATCTGTAATCAAATTTTTATCTAGAATAATCTCCTTATAAATATTTAATAGGGCTAATCCATGTTCACCGGTTGTATATCTTAAATAGGCTTTTAACCTATTTAAAATTGAAAAAGACCTTTCATTAGTGCAGGTACTTATTGATAAGTTAACTAAAATAATTAATAATGTTTTGATATTAGAGAGAGGATCTAAAGTGCAATTGCACATGGATAGGGTCTACAGAGCATTTTTTGGTCTCAGAGTATTCTATTCTGTCAAGATTTTTATACCAAAATTCAACATGACAAAGTAACTTATATTATCAACCTACTAAATCATCAGCCTAATACTCTGAGATTTATTTAATATCCTCTCGTGTTTCAAGTATAATCAACAGTTTAGACGCAACTAAGAAAATAAAAGCTTTTTAAAATAAAATTATGACTAATAAATCTTTGCTTTAATTAAAATAAAAATATATCAATAAGGGGAATAAAAATTTTCAATCGTAGATGCATCAATATTTGTGCGATTGGATTGTCAAATTTCAATTTTTTTTTTATTTTTCGGGGGGAGTTGAACCCCCCCCCCCTTCCCCCCCCATGCCAACGTAGCTGCGCTCCCAATTGTCTACATTATATTGTCTCTGTGCTTAAATAACCGTATCGAATTGTGGGTGCGCCAAATTGACATGTGTTAGCGCCGGAATGGCGTAACCTTATTTATACATTACAAATATAAGTACTTTTCATTTATATCTTAGATATATGATACTGTTCCTGACCCTGAATATAATAGAATGCAGTTTAGTAATAAAACAATTCTTCAATCATGACTAAAATGAATATTACCGTTCCAATTACTTCTCTTAGAATAATTAATTTTATTAGTATTGAATTTAAATTACATGTTTTCATATATGATTAAGATCTCCAAGACTGTTGAAATATTCCAAGATTTATCTTTACCCATTCCCTCCCTAAATCAAGTCACAAATTTGCCAATCAACTATAAAAATCGATTTGATTCACCCCAGACAATAACACAAAGATATGTCAGTACATATTCTATTGGTATAAAAAAATTTTTTTAAAAAATCTTAATTTATTACATTTCTGGTAAAGCTTTTTGAACTTTGTAACATTATTTTAAAAATTAGAGTAAATATAAAAAGCAGCATTATTTATCTAAATTTAATCGATTTTCTAATACTAATTTTTGGGATAAACAAATAATGTCAGATCCATATAAAAAAGAACATATATATTTTTTTAATAATTAGACTGATTATAGTTGCTTATTAAAAAAATACACTTATCATATATAAAATGCGATTTCAGTGACGCTAAATGAGCTAAAATCAATTGTTTGATTTAAGCGTGCATTTTGTAATTTGTCGGAACTAAATTCAATCCTAATTACAAGAATGATTTTGTTGTACTAATTACCGAAATTATAAATAAGCTAATAATTAAAGAAATATTTTTATAATTAAAAAAAATCCCTTAGATAACACCACTATTGATAAAGATATGCCCCCAGAAATGGGAAACAATCAAAGGAGTCTTTCCTTAATCTCCAACAATGAGGATAATATATCATTAGCCGGTAATAAATTGCTAGGTGCTATTCGATGCCAGGATATAAGCAATAAATTAACTTCCATTCCTCCGACTTCCCTAACTAATATTGCCACGTGGATTTACGGTTGGGTTATGAGGTCCTTTTTTTAAACTTATCAAAATACTTGTTGTTATTTATATATTATTTTAATCCAAATCTACATAGTTAGCTAAATTTTTTTAATAGTGTTGGTAAACAAATATTCTAATGTTTCAGAAATTTTATACACTGCATAAAGCAAAGAAAATACAATTTTTTTTAAAATAAATAAATATTTGCGATATAAAATAATTAATTATTTTTTATCTTCCTTATTTAATTACCGTCTCATACAAACTCCAAAAAAGATGTACATTATTTGCTAAAATTCAATAATTCGAAAAAGTTAATCTTCCTTGCTTTTTTTATTTGCAAAATCTTTGACAATTTCCTATTTAACATATTACTCGATTTCCGATTTAGTTGACCTAAAATGGCTCATTATTAATACTAACTTCTAAAAACTCCATTCAACGCTTACTTATATAGTTGGCGGAATTCGCAAAGCCATTGATATGCTTGACCGCTGTCTGGTTTAATCATTTTTCGTCTATATAATTGTCAAATCTTTAAAAGTTTCTGGTGTAAAGTCAATCTATCTTTCGAAAAACGAAAGCATTATAAGGAATCGAAATGTAAACTATGGTTCTTAATAGGAATGTACCGATATTTTTTACCGGATCGGGCCGATATTTCACCTATTTTAAAATATCAATTATCGGCCAATATTATAATATTTGCCGATCCGATTCTATATAAAATGGCGTCTTTAACAAAAATAAAATGTTATAAATTTTAAAAAAAAGTTATATCTAAAATCATTTATTTTTATAAATAAAATCGAAATCCATATTTTTTTTAATAATAATAATTAATAATAAACATTCTGCCATATAGTTAATTTTTTGCGCATTCTGTTTATAAAATTGTGCGATAATTTCTTCAGAATCTGTTTTTAGTGAAGTTGGTGATATTGACAGTTACCATTGCCGCAGGCTGATTTCTGATAAATTGGAAATTTTGGTATTTCTAAAAAGAAATCTTTGATATATTAATGTTAAATATTATTTTAAATATTTATTCAAATTTCATAATATATTTGTTTATTACTTATTATATGTATATAGATTTATGTTGTTACTTATTATATAAAAGTGATTTAACAATAAAAATATTTTATATACTTTTTGAATCGCAATAGAATTGAATATAAACTATAACTGATCATTATAATATATTTAAATGACATAAGTTACGGTATAATTAAATTATAGATGTTATACTAATAAAAAGTATATTACAAATTAAAACCATTGGTATCTTTACAGAATACAAAATTAGATATGATATCGGATCGGTAATCGGCCGATATCAATTTAATATCGAGAATATTGGATTGGCCTCTAAAAAGTGATATCGGTACACCCCTAGTTTTTAATTTGATCAAATCGAGCTTTCATGGGTATTGTGGTTGCTCCCATTATTGTATTAAAAAATTATTGGTTCCCTTACAAATCTGCTCTTCTAGAGGATATACCGCTGTTATACTGATAGAAGATGCAAGCAGATTAGTAATTAGTTTTATTTTGGACAATTTCATTTTCCCGTTATTTTTTTAAAAAGTTTTAAATAATTGCTATTGACTTGACCAATAAAATCATATCATAATTTGGAAACTGCAACTGTTTGCTTATTAGATGAATTGTTACTTTATAGCACAGCAGATAAATTTATAGTTTCAAATATTTTTTTTGCAAGAATGTTGATTAACAACCCATAATTTATATCTTTCTTGATAATGCATCTTTGTATTGAATTGGTTGAATCACATCAACGCATAACTTTCACCGAGTGTTATAAACTTTTATCAACATTTAGCTAGGCAAATATTTATTCAGGACATTCAGCATATCTATATTATATAAATCGAGAAAGAAGATAAAACTATTGAATTAAGCCAAAGAATGAAAGATATTTCAATATAATTCTAGGGAATATGCGCGGCTAAGGCTGCATTCATAGTGCCCATCGCAATGTGAAACGATTCTTATCGAAATCCCAACTAAATATTTACTAAATTCTAAAATATATATATTACTTTCGGATTTTTGGCAGACATCGTAGTGAAAAATACAAGTCGAGTTGTACTTTATTTTTTACGCAGCGAAAAATAATCGGATCCAAAATTGCATAGCTTAGCAAAATCTTGCTAACAATGCATCATATTAAATAACATATTTTGTATTTTTCTCGTTTACGTATGCGATTTATGTTCCAATATGAATGGAGTCTAAAGCTTGATAATATCACTAACATGTAGGCGAAATATAGTTTAAAAACTCATTTTAAACTCTGTTTTGTTCTGTGATTCTCACTAGTTAAACCTGATGTAAACGATACTGCAAAATGTAACATAAATGGTCTCTCATTTTTTGGCCTAATTCATCAACTTTTTTTTATTGGCTTCGATGGATAGATAGAATGTCCTAATTATAAAATAGAGTCTTCAAAATTTGATATAAATTTTGCTGTCATTAAAAAAAGGAATAAAGAATTATTTGTTTATAGAGTAACAAAGGTTGTATAAAAGCTACATTTAAAAAATGGTAGCGACAAGCACATTATTTCTAAAAAGCAGATCTGGTTTAGTTCATAGAAGGTCTAAGTTTAAATAGGTTCTAAATAATCATTGGCCAAAAAATAATATAAATTGGAAATGTTAAAAATATATGAATGCAATTAATTTTATTTAAATATTTAAACTGTACCTAGATTTTTACCCATAGGCGTTCCAATCACATTGCAAAATTGCTTGTCCACTTTTTTTGCCTGTGACGAATTGAACGGAGATAACATGTACAGTTGTGACAATTGCAAAAAGTGATATGTTTATATCATTATTTTAATAACTAATATTTTTCATCAGCTATATTTACTATATTTTTATTTAGCAACTTTATTTAAACTCTATAATTATACTATACTAATTTATATATATATTAAGATATATGCCCTATAGAATAATAGTATCTTACTAAATTCGCAAAATTTAAGAATATAAAATAGGATTTATTGGACTCGTTTAATATCAGAGATGCAATATTACCGAAACATGGGATCCACTAATACCACCGATACCAAAAAATAATTCATAAATATGATCATTTTATTTATTTATCTATAATTTACAATTAGTTGTAAAAATAAAAAGAAATAGGGGGGAAGAATTAACAGCCCTTTCTTTCTTATCATTTTAGAAATTTGTATTTGATTTTTTTAAAAATTCATGGCTTAATGTAGGAGCTTAAAAATAAATTAAGAACGTTAATATTAATTATTATTGTTGGGTATTGACCAGTTATTGGTTGATCTCTCTTTAATATGCTATTTAATCATTAAAAAGTCTTCGATTAATCCGCTAAATATAAAGACACTTATTTGAGGCTACAATTATTTTCGCCAATTCAATCAATTATACTTTAAAAATGTTTGATTCACTCCACCTCCCTCTCTTATTTATATTAGACTAAGAAATGGTATAAAGGATTCAAAGATTATAAAGTTGCCAGAAGTGCTCTGCATTCACCTCAAACGATTCAGACACGATTTTTCTTATTCATCCAAAGTTTCAACCAAAATCGATTTCCCTTTGCAAGATTTGGACATGGGACCTTACCTTGATAAATGTAAACTATACAAAATACTAGGGATGTATGGAATCCAGATTTTCCACCAGTACCGGGCCTAATTTCAACCGAACGATCCTATATAGATTTTTTTGTTAAAATAATTTAACTTTTTACTTAGAAATAAAATCATTAAAGATCAAAGTATTAAAAATCAAACATTAAATTTTAATTATCAACATTATCAATTTGACTTGCAATAATTTATTTAGATCGAGGCTTTGATAAAACTATCAGTGGCCGGCATGGTAAAAATAAAATTGATGATCATGACAATCCGCATTTTAGCCGCTATCTTGATTGGCTTTGTTAATCGGCGCATTGATTATAAATTTTTTATAATCTTTAAATCATAATTTTTTTTAAGAAATGTTAATCAAACCAAAATGCTATTATAGAAATAAAAGCTAATTAGAAATTTCCCCAGACAGATTGTAGGTATTTTAAAGATCGAGTTAGACAAGAATTTAAGATATTTATTTAAGTGGTGGTAATAATTTTTTTCACAAATTTATTAGTATATATATCTCTTTCGATAAAAGTTAATTGGATATAAAAAACATTTGAATATTATTTCAACAGGAAATAAATTAACTTTTATATTTAGTGATAAGTTAAATATTTGATTTATAGCCGCAAAACAATATACAAACAGATGATATAAAATTATAAATAAAAGACGATTAAAATATAAAGTAGAATAATATTAATACATAGATGATCTCATTGAATAATTTATGTCAACCCAGTTATAAAGAAAACCATTTCACTAGGTGCAGTAGTTAGTGGAACACAATTTTTTTTTGGCTTGGAAAGATTTGGAAATTCGATCCTATTTTCTTTCCAAAAATTTAGAAACCATATGCAGATGCCGTTTTTGCTAAGAATATGGGATTCATATTTCAAATTATTCAAAATAAATCATAATTTATATTTTCCCTTAAATGTTTACTTGTTAACTTTGTCAGATAATTTGTATTTGATTTCTTCTTGGCTTTCAATATTTATTTACTGAATATTATTGTACTCTAGAAGTTATAGATTTTATAAGAAATTCAGTCGGCATAAATTTTTGTTCTTTCATATATTTTGAAACAACTTATCGGGGGTCTGGTAAAAATAATATCGACATATAGAAGTTTTTTTAGCATATATATATTCTTTAAGAGAAGTAATCTCTGAGCTATTGTAAGCAAGCATTCAATATTAAATGGATTTCTGTTTTGCTCCCTGAAAAGTATAATTTTTCTGTGAAATTGGCAGAAAAGTCAATATTCCAAGTTTAATCAATAGTATCATTAGACTCTTGAAATGGGGGGGGCTCATTTTTATAAAATTACATAAAGAAGGAAATTCATATATTTTCTTACAATGTAAATTTAGACCATTTATTACACTTGGTTGCTAAATAACCCTTGCTAAAAAAATTTAAATTTGGTTAAAATAAAAGGTATCCACATATGGGCGGCCATGAGCTAGTGGGGTTGTTATATTTAATGAATGAGATAAGCCAAAATATTAATTCGAAATGTTCAAATTCGCTTCACCTTATCTGCAACTTCACATAAAACGCACATTAGGCTAGGCTCAGGTCATTATGGTATTATTTACCGACCTGATGCTGTAACAATGGTCAATATTTTATTAGATTTAAACTCTCCCCATCCTTAACCTTCCTTTCACAATTAGCGCGAATTCACGTTAAGAGATTTTTTATATTTTTTAATGCAAATTTATTCTTTTATCCACATGCGATTCACAAAATACTACAAAAATTTGATAAGCTTTTAAGTAGATTGTTTATAAAGCGTTATTTTTAATTTTATTATTAATACTTTAAATAGCTAACGGATCAAACAAAAATATTTATATAGCATTTATGTTGCTATCGGAATTTATCCTATTACAATGAATTATAATTACTAAGCGAGGTTGCTGTTTTTAATACTTGATATAATATATTTTAACTGTAAAAATATAAATTTTATATGCAAAACATATATAATGCAAAAAAAGCATGCCGAGACGAGATTCAAACTTACGACCTCGTAGCCGTGATATCGCATCGAGGCACGTCGCTAGCGGGCGGGCACTATACAACATGTGCTTTGAACCACTATGACGGCCATTGGTACGAGTTTGATGACGACTCTGTTACCAAAATCAAGGAATTTCAAGTCGAGAAGGTCGAGCCTTACGTTCTATTTTATGGGTAAAAATATTTTTTTTAAAAATATATTCATTCTTATCTCACTTTTATAAAAAGTTAACTTTGTTATATAAAATTAAAATATGATTAATCTACTAGAAAATATTAAGTGCCCTTCTCATTTTTAAGTTCACGATCCTTTTTCAAGGAGTACATTCTGCCCAGGACAGACATTTGACCTTCTTTGCTATAATAAATACACAACTCTTTTATTAAACAACATTTGGTTTTATATAAAAAGCAAAAATCAAGACGCTATATCGCTGAAAAGGATGGATGCCTCACGTTTACAACAAGAATACGATCCTGAAGTAAAATACCTATGCATTAATAAAACGTTATTATTTCTTTAATTTTTATCAGATACCTGCAGAGGTACCATTTGCATGGCCCGGCCCGGTTTTAAATTTTTTAGGCCTGGCCCGCCCCGGATATTTAAAAAAAAATTTTTTACGGCCTGGCCCAGCCCGGATATTTTTTAAAAAAATTTTTTACGGTCCGGCCCGGATTTAAAAATTTAAGGCCCGGCCAGGATATTTTTTTAAAAAAAAATTTCAGGCCCAGCTCGGAATTTTTTAAAATTATATTCTACCTGGTATATACAAAAATTCACCTATGAGGTATTTTACCATATTTTTCAGCGAGTATTATCGCTTATTATTTAAAAAATACATGTAAAAAGCTAATATTTTGAGAATATTATATTGAATTTATAAAAATTATAAAACTGTTATTTATAAAAATGGATATTTTGAGCATATACTATATTTTATATTGCATTTATAAAAATAAAACTAATATTTGTCATATACTATATTTTATATTACATTTAAAAAAAATAAAACTAATATTTAATTTATAAAAATGGAAAATATTTTGAGAATATAATATATTGTATTTAATTTACTATTTAATTTATAAAATAAAAATAAATCGCTATTTAAAAAAATGCATGTATAATAAATAGTATTTTGAAAATATAACCTAATTGCACAATATTAATATAATTTATTTTATAATATAAATTTTTAACAAAAGAAGATAATTGTATTATATAATATTGTAAAAAAAAATAATGAAAAATGTTGGATTAAAAACTTTCATGACTCAAGGTAAATATAATAAATGCAATAAATATTTGACAGTTTGCAAAGTAAAAAACCAGCATGATTGACGAAACCCTATACTCAAGAAAGATATTAAAAATTCACAAATTATCATGAAGAAAGAGAAGCATATCTACCTTTTCAGGTTGAAGATTACTTCTTCTTTCTTCAAGAATTCTCCCAGTAGTGGAAAAATTCCGCTCACAGCTTGCACTTAAAGCAGGAATTGCCAATTTTGCTAAAATTGGAAATTCGCTTTGATGAGCCGCCCACCACTCTAACAAATTATCCACCTTAAATGTTTTATCTATTATTTATGTAATTATAATATTCATCATCGGGTATTGACATATTATTAGAATTACCATCGCCCCATTTGTCATAAAACGATTCAGTTTGTTTAACAACAGTCGTAATTTGACTGGTCGATGGTATTTCATTTACTTCCTGAACCTCTTGTAATTTAATATAATCTTTTATATAGTTTTCCGTCATTTTGCGATCTGTCCCTGACTACATACGTAATTGCTTGAATTTGGGACAGAGAAAAAGAGAAATAAAATGATACTAATTTTTCAATTAAAAAATGCTTTATATTAAGTAAAATCAATTTTATTTCTCCTTTTCGCTTTGAAGGGTATTACAAACTTTAAGAAGTGATATTCCTTTATTTGATTGTTTTGGTAAAATATATTTTAAAAATTTAGATATGAATTATAAAAAAATATATTAATAATACTTGAATATTGGGGCTTATTTAAGATATTCCTTTATTTGATTGTTTTGGTAAAATATGTTGTAAAAATTTAGATATGAATTATAAAAAAAATATATTAATACTTTAAATAAATTTGCAGGAAATTAATAATTAGATCGATCTGTGGGTTGTTAGGTAGTGTTAACCATCACCCAATATTATATTAATCATAACTATAATATAATATAATCTTATAACCATTAACTCATAATGTAACAATTAAGGCCCGGCCCGGGTTTAAAAATCTTAGGCCCGGCCCGGATATATTTAAAAAAAATTTTTTAGGCCCGGCCCGGATATGTTTAAAAAAATTTTTTTTAGGCCTGGCCCGGCCCGGATATATTTAAAAAATTTAAGATACGGCCCGGCCCAGGTTTAGGGCCGGGCCTGCAGGTCTCTGATTTTTATTCTAAATTTCCTTTAAAATTATTTTAATATAGCTCAAAAATCATCTCCCTTTTTACATATCCAAACAATGGTTAAATAGATTCAATTTTACTGCAGAGCCAGGCCCTATAGACCAGAGTGACTTTGTGTGTTTACATAGATGTAAGAATAAACTTATTTTAATCTGTTTATTATATAAAATATATCTAGATCTGGGTGCTTTTTCCAGTCCCGTAACGAATGTATAAAATTATTTTTATTTAAAATTCCCCGCCCCCCCCCTACCCCTTTTCTACACCGCCTGGGTTGTTTTTTTTTTGGACACATCCCTGAATCTAATTTTAACCTGGGCTGCCGATCCCTGATATATAAAAGAAAAATGGAAAAACTTGTTCTGCATTTTATAATTAAATTTTTTTAATAATTGAATTTTGATCACTAAGATTATTTAGGAAGTTTTGGTTCACTTTATTTAGGATTGAATTGAAATCTTATATTATTGTACAACATTGGTATAGTTTTTTTTATTATATGTTAATTAAATGTCAATGACTTGACAAATATTCTAACAGAATGGTTAATTATTTATTCACAAATATTTTCATAGTGTTTCACAAATTATTTTTATACTAAAGCCGTGAAACCTAATAGATTTGATATGGTTGAAGATATGTGTCAGGATATTGGTATAGATACCTGGATGTACCTCTATAAAAAGTATTTTTTTAAAAATAATTAATTTTTTTTTCCACAAAAACGGTAATTCTATAAAAGCGGAAGTGGTACTACAAGTTCCCAAACACAACATATTATATTTTAAAATAATAATTTGTATTTATTGTTTTAGAAAAAAATGACTCAACCTATTATATAGTAGATAATATATATGTATTTATTCTATCGTTATATATAAATAACAAAATATAAGACAATATTGTTAAAAACTCTCAGAATAGCTATATAATATGTCAAATTAAATTATCTATTTTTGGTTAATTTAATCCACTAGAAATATTTTTTGATAATCTATAATTTTAAACCTTAACCAACAATAAAAGTTTTTAAAATTTTCTCTATGATCAGGGATCCCAACCGTAACGAATATCGGTTAAGGTTCTTGTTCAGATAAAAATAAATATTTAATTTTATTATTCAATTATTTGGAGGCCTAGACTAGTGTTGTTAAACAATAGATTTGAGCCGATCCTAAGCCTTGATATTTTGCTAATAGATGCTCACACCTTAATGTCATCTATGAAAAAAATCTTCAGGCCATAATATTTTTCTGGATAAAATATTGAGTTAGCCGTTTTTAAAAGGCTCAAGTTGAACCTTTTATCAACACTAATCTAGACCCTATATTAAAAAAATAGGTTTATCTCTATTGAAAAAAATTCTCATCTACACGGAAAATTTCTATTTTCACCTTATTTATTCGACTATATATCTACCTTTTTTTGTAATAGCAATTTCAAAAGGGATGAGAAGCTAGACTTCCTTTGATTCATTTTAAATAAATCCTAAAGTATATTTTTTTTCTTTCTATTGTCATCAAAGCCTTCTATTTTCAAATAATAATTTTAAAAAAATGATTAAAAAGCTTTGGAGGGGAGATGCCTCTAAACGCCTTGCAAGATTGTGGCATCTGTGAGGAAGAAGAAAGGTTGATATCGGAAAAAAGAAAAGAAGAACTTAACTTTTATAATGAGGTAGCAACACTTCAAGTTCAACTTTTTTGATTATTATACACTAATAATGAATATCAGAGATTAAAAAAAAAATCTTCAAAATATTTTAAAAAGATTTTGGCAATTTTAGGTAAAATTTGATCAAAAATATCTCTTTTTCAAAAATTTATGCTCAAAAATTTAAATTTTTTTTAAAACTCTGAAAAATACTTTATAATCACTTTGTTTAAAAATAATCATTTGGTTAAAAATAATATACTTTTAAAAGCAAGAGTAGGATTAAATAACAGCAAATATGATTTTTTAAAATAAAAATCGATTATATTAATCATGATTTTTTTGATTTAAATTAAATTTTTTATCAAATAAAATTAATTTTAAATAAACATATTTTCCTATAGAATTATTAATTAAACGTTATTAAGACATATTGAATTGACTAAAAATGTATTTTAAGTGCTTATGTTGTAATTCGCATTCAATATTTTTACATTCTAAAAAACTTTTTATTCTTGCGTATGATTATGATACTTAAAATTATAATTTAAGACTAAATGAAATTTTCTTTAAGCTACAAAACATAATTTTTTTATATTTTAATCAAAGAAATAGTTAGTTTTAAAAATTAATAATCACATGAAATCGGATCAGCTTTTATTTTAAAAATAATTTCATGTTAAAGATTTACTCTTTTTGACTTTCCAATTTTAAACAAAATGTTAAGAATATTTGACTGCACGAGCTCTTCCAAGATTTAATATTTGCTCATTTATAATCATTTTAATACATTCTGATTCTGGGTATATATTTATAATTAAAAAATATAATATTAATTTTTAAGTTTGATTATTTAATTTAATGTTTTATAAACTAGAATAAAAATGCCGATATTAAATATGGGATCGGCGCCGATATATCGCGTTTTCAAAAAAATATAGGATCGGACCGGTACTCGTAAAAAACCGATACAATCTTTTTACTTTTTTTGTTATTTTATGTTATATATATTTATAGTTTATTTTACATTACAAAAAAAATTTTATTTATTTTTATAAAAAAAATTCTAAATAATTTATTTATTTTTATAACAATGAAAATTCACATTTTATTTATTTGAATTGAAAATCAAATAGAATCTAGTAACAAATAAAATAATTGAATTCTATAGTATTGTAGATGACCTGCCATACTCGTAAGGAATGTTTATATCTAGACGGTATAATAACATATTTTATTAGTATTTGGTTGGGTTATGATTGACTTATTTGTTTGGGAGGTATCTGATTATTTCAAACCCAACAAATGGTTGAGTTTGTATGAAACCCATTATTTTAAAAATGCTAAGTTTATGTCTGTGTTTATTTAGATAACTATAATAACATTAATATTGATATTATATCACATTTGGATACACTTGACTATTGGAGAATTAATGCTGAAAAGTATCTAACTTTGTCAAAACTTGCATGTGAATTATTGGTGGCCCTCCAACAAGTGTTACATCTATGTCTGTCTTCAGTAAGGCTGGAGATATAGATAGTCCACATCTAAAAGCCTATTGCCAAAAAATCTAGAGGCTCTCATATTTATTTAAAAAAACGAATATTTTATATATTAAATATATATTTTTTTATCTAATATAATATTATTTTTTTAAAAATTATAGTCTTAATTGTTGAAATAATTAAAATTAAATTAAATGCATAATTCGATTTTTTAATTATATTTGGTTCAAACGGGAGTGTAAAAAATAAATATCGGATCATTGAAAAATATGTGATCGGCACCGCCATATAAATTAAATTAAACTGATATTTTTTAAAGTTTTCATAAAATTTAATATATATTATTTACATGGGGGGACATGGCTTGTTACCAACTGATTTATATTGATAATTGATACACATATAAATGAATGAATTATGATGTCATCACCTTGGCATTAGAAAAATATTGAATATATTCGCTCTTAACCACAAAGTTTTATTTCTTCCATCTAATAATCTTCCATTTCTCCATATAATTTATTTTCTTTTGTAAGACATCTTTCCTAATTTTTATTCTTTTTCTCTCCTTAATTATAAATTTATATTTATCGTAATTTTGCATTCAAAAAAATCGCTTTATGCTTTTTCTTTTTTATAATACGTTATTTTAGTTATATTTACTTCTTAAATAAAAAAAACAATTGATGGAAAAAATTATTAAAATAGCTAATAATTTAAATTTAAATTTTTCATACATTGTTATGTAATAGCGAATAAATTTGCATCTTGCTTTACATGGGAGTAGTTAATAAATAAATTTCCTATTTTGGAAATTAGATCCTTTTCGTTCAATAATCAAATTATAAATATTTTATAATCCACTGTCTGAGCAGTTTTTATAAAAAAAACGATCTAAGATTGTTTTGAAATTCATATTGTATTGGATTTCTGGCTTCTTTCTGTTCATTTATATGTGAGCGACGAGTTCATCGATAAATAATCGGATGCTGATATCAATTCATCATATACTCAGATATTGAAGAAGTTGACCCAGGTAAATGCTTCCAAATATTATCTTTCGAAATTTTTTCTTTTTTTACTCGGATATTGAGTAAGAAATTGGCGCAGGTAAATGCTTTTAATTATTATCTTTCGAAATTTTCTAATATTTGTTTTTCTAACTAAAAAATCATAGGATAATTATCTAATTCAGAATTATCTTCGTTTGAAAAATTTATTTTTCTGAATTTTGAGAACGAATATTATCTTGTTATCTACTGCATAATTTTTTTTAATGGATTTGATATTTTTCTTTTATTAACTAAAAATATTGGACAGAAACGTTATGGATTATTTATTATTATAAAAATATAATAAAAACGATATACTCTTTCATCTTATTTAAAGTATATGAGACTACAGTATACAGATGCCTATCGCGATAACAATTCATTTCTGATAAATCTAACATGGTTCAAGGAATGGGAAAATTTTATTAAAGGACAGGAATCTGGTATTTTAATATATTTAATGGAAATAATATTTATCCCGACAGAAATATAATATTACAAATGTGAAGGTTACCGAGACTGGATTAGACCGCTCCACAATATTAAAAATTTCAAAAAAGGTCGACTATCAAATGGAATCTTCTTATTTTGTCAGTCAAAACAATCGATCTTTTTCGTTTTGTAGAGCTATCTGAAACGGTCTTATTAACCCCACTACTCACTGGGATATTAACACTTGCTTTTAATTTTATTAGAAATCTATTTATTATTTTAAGATCCACCAGGTCCAATCGATAATAGAACTATCTTAAAATTCAAGAATGATAAGCTATCATCAAACAAAAGTACCATAGATAATACTACTTTTCTCCCATATTAATATTATTTTTGTCTAAATTATTAAATAATATGCTCTCAATTCGACAACAAATATCCTTATTTTATATCAAAATATAGATATGCCCTTATGCAATGTGGGTGAAAATCTGTGGAAATTTTTGATAAAGCAATATGATGGTGGACCTGAAATTTCCTCTCGCCCTAATTATTTGTAGATTGTAGGATATATTCTTTATCAAAGAGAAAAACAAACGATTACTTTTAATAACCGCAAAACGATGATTTAAAAACAATATGCATTATTTATATTAAATGATTTTGTAGACAATATTTTTATATCATTTTTAATATTATTTATATTTAACTTAAAGGAAGTGTCTATTTATAGGGAACAAATATTGTAGACTTAATATAATGTTTTGATTTAAAGATAGGTTAGTCCATTTTGTAAAAAGGATTAAAACTTAAGTTATTTGGTGTCCTATTCGAATTAGAGTCAGGTATTCCAAATAACTGCAAGAATCAAACGTCCAAATTAAATTTAAAAAGGGTTATAATTATTTTTAAATACGAAATGAGCAATATTAAATTTATTTATTTCAAAAAAAATAAATAACATTTAATGGAATACATATTTTTTTATAAACTAATTCATATAATTTTATGATAGCGATCTATCTCTATGGGGTTTCTTGGAATGCTCCTTATGATGCTTGCGATGCTTTTTATGGTGATGTTTATGTTTTTTCTTTTTGTCTTTTTTGTGTGAGCTGGACATTTCATCAATCGCTGATTTATCTGATTCTTTTAAATTAGGGGAAAATTAATTTGGGAGGTTCAAAATTATGTATAATAACAATATCTCTTGTTTAAATATTCCACTTTTAAATTTCCTTGATTTCGGCCATAAATTTAAAAGTATATCATGAATCTCTGTTTTAATTTCCCAATTTTAAAATCGTAGAAATAACTAATTACGAGTTCTCGGGTTAATAGAGAGTGCAATAATATTTACTAATTTTATATTATATCAATATATTACTTGTTTCATTTAGTTCTTTGGAACTTTGAGTAGATAGGCACTAATTTAAAAAAGAAAATTAAAAACATCTATAAAATAATCATATTACATCTTCAGTAATCAAATGGCGCTTGAATTGATCTTGAAAATTAATAGGTTGAGTCAAATCAATTTTCGGTACAGGATTTTCCTCATCAAGTTCCATATCGGAAGGAATATCGAGTTTGATATTTTTTGGATTGCTTAAATTGTTTCCGGTAAAATCATTTATAACGGTGGAAGGATTTAAAAAATCATCATTTGGTTCCAATAGAGAGGATAATGGTTTAGGATTGTTTATGAGATTTAGAGTTTCTGTAGGTATTATTTGAACATTCTCACCAGTTTGAAATTTTTTGAAAGATAAAGTTGCAGACTTAAGATCATCCTTTTTTGATTATTTTTTTGTAAAATTAAAAATAATGAACTGCACCTGCACGCGAGCTGCTATTTTATATGATTTGAATATCTTATTTCCAATAAACCTTAAGCAATTAATAATTTTAATATTATAAATAATATATCGGAAGTGATCAAATATAACTACCAATGGTCTCAATGGTAGAGGTACATCTTTTCCAAACAATGAAAAATACAATTCTATAGCATCGCATCTCAGTCTATAATCAAAGGAAAATAACGTTTGTCCAGAAATTAATGCCCAAAGTTTATTTATAAAGTCAAGATCTTGAGCCCTAAAACTAAGAATTTGAGGGGAATCAATCAACATTTTAAATATTTTGTGTTTTAGATAGGTACTCTCCTTCTGACTTTCCATAAATTCAGGGGAAAAAATCCAATCGATTTCTTCTTTCAAAGCGTTATCTGATTGTATACAAATGAATAAAATAATTATATGTAGAAAGTAGAAACTAGGTTATTGAAAATCAAGTATCATTAAGAAACATCTTATTTTAATGGATTTGATTAGATAAAATTTGCAAGAATGAATAAATATTCCATAAAAAAAATATTGTTCTTATATAAGCTAGTTTTCTCGTTGATAGGTTATATATTATCAAATCTGTTAGGCAGCAATAGTTTCACCTGGTGGTATTATTTTATATAATATTCCTATAGATGATTATAAAATATTTTTCTCATATAACATGCAATATTAGTGCTCCAATTTTACGAATCAATATTTTATTTATTCGAATAATCACAACTATCAATTTGAATTACTCATATTTGAATATCCTTTATTATTTGATTAGCTCATACAATTATTAATTTGGACGAATATTGAACAATTTAAAAACTTTCAGGGTGCGTCCAAAGTCAAATAATTTTTCAAAAAAATGATAAAATGAGGTGGATGAGACTAAAACATGGGAAAATCGTTTTCTATAAATATTTTAAATTTATATTTAATAGAAATATCGGTAAAAACTAAGTTAAATTTTTTTTAATTCAACAACAATTATTCCAATACTTTCACAAAAAACTCCAGGTTTTGTCAGTAGGTGTTCGAATATGTCTCAGAGTAATATCTAATGATGGGCTGTGGAAATTGTTTAAGCATACACCGGTGGAATTATCGCAAAAAAAGGAAGAGTTCAAGCCTGTTGAGAGTAAGCATAACTTTTATTGATAGAATATGCGTGAAATGGGTGCATAATAATGAAAAAGTAGAAAATGGTGATTTTAATATTGGCAATTGGATCAACCCTAGTAAAGGGGGGAAGATGTTTTATCTGGGTGACATCCTAAATGCAGATGGAGGTGTTGATACTGTTTTTGTTGTAAGGGTTAAATATGCGTGGAAGAAGTTCAGAGAGATGCCGTTTATTCTAGCAAATAACAACGACTCTGAAGTTGAAGGGAAAAGTACGTTCGCTAGGTGAGAAGTTGTAAATTTTATGGCGGTAAAACACGGGCAATGAAAGTGGCTCACAAGGATGGGAATGGAAGAGGCTGGAGTGGTAATGAAATGAAATAGACAAAGATGGTTAGGGCATTTGGAGCGAAAAACGAAATGACTGGGTAAAGAAATATGCATGGTTGGAAATAAGAGGATCAAGGCCTCGAGGAAGGCCCAATCGAATAAGATGATAATTGAGGATATGAGAAAAATGAATCCCACAAATTGTAATGCCGAGGACCGAAAAAACGAAGAAGTCAAATCGGAAAGAAAACTGTTTAATCCGGGCAAACCTGGAAATCGTTATTAAATGGAGAATATTTTTGAATTACTCAAAACCAAATATTCATTCAAAATCAAAACGACACTTTTTGTTTTTCCAAGTTCAGTATCCAAAAATAATGGGAAGAATGAAAGATATACGAGCCATTTTTTTTATATAAAATAAATATAAAAAACCTTTAACAACTTCCAAAAGGCATTGAAAGGCTGCTAATCTGACATCTAAAAAATTTCCAGGGGTGGTATAGTTTTTAAACAAAGTTTTAAGTGTGTAAATGGGTATATGACCCATTTTTTGTATGTGCCTCAGGGCTAAGAGACACGCTTGAGTCACCGAATAACGGTAAGAGGCATTGTGAGGAAGCTTTTCGAGGTTGATTTGGCAGACTATTTCCGTCAAGATTTTGAGGATGTCGGGAGATGTTACTACGGATTTAGGTGGTAAAGAGGTCTCAACCGGGAGTTGCTGTGAGGGTAAGACACCTGAAAAGATATTTATACAATTATAGGGTTCTAACTGCCATTCGACTGATTTTTTATAAACACCATATAATTTGATTAATGTTAACTATATTTGCTTACAGTTAAAATTACTTTTTGGAGGGCTATATATAAAAAAGAAGTAAATTGGTGAAAAAGAGTCCTATGGATAGAATTTTGATCATAACTTAATTTTGACTGAGTGGTGTTAGAACATTGTGATAGAGAAGCTAAAAAAAAATTATATGCGTATATTAAATAAATAGGAACTTGCAAATTTAGATGGAATCGAAGGTTCGAACATAGTGGCTGAGGGAGATATAGTATTTGCCAATGCAACTATAAGATTTGCTCGAAATATACTATCCGAAAACTAATCACAAAAAATATTTAATTAGATATTGGAGAGAATTTTAATGATGGGTATAAAAGCTAGATTAAGAAAAATATGTAAATACTAAATATTACACCTGGTTTTTCAAATTATCATTAAATTTGAGCAAATGAAGGATAAAATCCAATATTTCGGGGGGTGTAGTTTGCCTCAAACCACCCATCTTCAGCAAGCTTATAGCCAATGGCATAGCGCAAAGTAAAAAATAAGATTGAAAATCTGAGAAATCGTTCTTTTTGAGCATCAATGTGGGATTTTTGAGGTTGCAAAAGAGTTTGTAAAATATGTTCAATATAGATGAAGGACCGGCCCAGGTATCTGTCATATTATTGGCGATCTAATTTTAAGAGGATGATTAAACGTGCAATATGTATGTATTATTATTATTTTTTCTGCAAGGTAACTCATTATTTTTAATGACTGTATTTTGTTACCTTGAGATGTACTTATTCTTAATTTACATACTGATCCAATTTCTACTTATATTAAGAGTGAAATCTACCCAAGTAAAATCGAAACTATCAGTTAGATATTAATGAACAAATTCGATCTAATTTTATATAATTAAGTTAATACAATTATTCGATCTGTTTTGACACTCTTTTTTTGTCATAATACATAAATCCAAGAAATCAATTTCGAAAAAATGTTCTAACTTTAGCTAAACCAAAGGCAGCGTCTACTCTGACCCTGTAAAAGTGTTTGTTATATTTGGCTTCTTTGTGATGGATGGTGGAGCCTAGAGAATTCAACAGGTTAGATATATTACTGCTATTAGGATTGCTTTGAGAAAGTTGTGAATTATGGTGATGCATCAGGATGGAATGATGATGGGTAGATGTTTGAGTGTTTGCTATGTTGGAAGGATTATTTAAGATGAAAACAGTAGTATCCTCTATAATCTCGTTCAATAGATTGCGGGTTTGAATAGTAGCAGATAGTCGTTCTCCTGGGTGTGAAGTAAGGAATGCTTCGTTCAATAAATCTGTTTTTTTTTAATATATTAAAAAAAAATGGAATATTGGGTTTAAGTGTAATGATATAATATGATAATAAGTTATGGTTTGTATACTAATAAAAAAAAATATTTTTTGGAATAAAGAAATTGCATCAAAACTATTGTTGATATCTAATTTGCTTTTTTTCAGTGCTGCAAACGTTACTTCTAAATGTAAAGTCGTTGCTTTATGTTACTAACCGAAAAAAGAAAGGTCATTCGTTACTTTCACAAAGAAATACAATAGGAAATGTTAATTGTTTTTTTTTCAAATATAATGTATAAAAGGCTACAAAAATACAATATTATGATTGAAAAATATAGTTATCAATACAATATATTAAAATTGTAATTATTTATTACAATACGTTTTTTTTAAAAAGTTGTTAATTAATGATTAATTTGCAAAAGTGGTAGCGGGAGAGGTTACATTTTTTCTAAAAAAGGTATACAGCACTGCCTTTTCACCTATCATAAAATAATAAGCAATATGAGAAAATTTGCAGAGGTACCCATTTATAGACATGGATCATGTTTGTTTATTTTTTGATTTTTAAATCAAAAATTGATCCTTTAGGACTTGCTTATCTATAAATAATGAATAGACTATTATTAAAACATCAATGATATATTTCTTTCCATACAATTATAAAATTGTCCTCTATACGATCCGTATATAGACTCTATAGGGGCACTATAACCAGAAAGGGCTTTAATAGCCCTGCATTGTGAGACCACGTCCCGTTCGTACTTGAGCATCATTTGGTATTGATAATCAGGTTGATTTATTCCTTTATCCTGGGTCGAACCTTATAAAAGCAATATGATATAGATAATGTTAGATTTAAGAAGTCACTCTTACACTACTTTCTAAAAAATAAAAAAAAGTCTTTACTATAATTTTAAATTTGGTGTTTGTATTCTTTCTTTTTCTATTATTAATTATTATCTAAATCTATTAATTATCATTAGGGTTGCACCGTTGCCTGATACTTTCATTTATAACCGATACCCAAAATAATAATTAACTCTTATAAAAAAAATTAAAAATTGATCATAAATAAGATTTTCGTCAAAATAATATTATGCAAGCCTCAAGATTTCGTTTAGCTGTTCCTTTCTACTATCTATGAGCAACCGAGCTTGAGTAATACTTTTTGGCTAAAATAATGGGTTAGCCGTTTTTAACAACGTTACTTTGAAATAGTAACCATCACAAAACCAATATTAATAATAAAGAAGCTTTGTTGACTCTTTACCTATTTCTATTTTACTTTTATATGTTACGGAATTAACTTTATTACTAAAGAATAAACATACAAGAAAGGAAAAAAAATTACAACTACAAAAGCTTCATTTAAAATTGAAAGGCATTTTTTTATAGATTAAATTAAAAATCAAAATATTTTTGTGGCAAATGGAGACTGGGAAAAATAATATGTTTTTCCCCACAGATAAACTCGATTTTTTTTGGATTATATTTCATTTTAAAAAAATGTTATCGGTATTATCGGTAAAAAGATGGTATCATGCTTCTCTAATTATCACGAATTATACATACCCAAATTATATATTACTGTGTACAAGTAAAGTTGATGTTCATTTTTTAAAATTTAATTAGTTTTCTAAAATAGGAAGGAAAAAACAAACCCAAAATTAATAAATCCGGATCCAGGGTTACCCACAAAACAGGGCATTCCGTTTCAAAGGCCATAGTTAAATCAATATCCGCCTCATCACCGTTGCACAGAGGTACTTTCTTCTTTTTGTTGCGATAGCTTAGTTTTTTTTATATTGCGCATAAAGGGTACAAAATTTAATCATATCAAAATGGTGACTAGGCTTAGATATGGGTGCGCCAAAATTGCTAGTAAATTAATTGCCGATCAATATAATAATTTTTTAAATAAGATCATTTTTCTTTCTTTATTAAAATAAATCTTCTTAAAATACCACAATTAAAAATTAAAGATATCCCGCCAACCTGACAATAGATCTCCAATTAAATGGTTAGTGATTATAAATAAGCCTTAAGCAAGAAATGTATCATTTTTATTCCAATATGGTTTATGGTTCTCATCGAAAAAAAAGTTAGCTTCTCGCTCTATTGTTAAAATCTTATTTTCAATTTTTTAATATAAAAAATAAAAAAATGCACATGTGGCCAATTATTGAGAATGGTTTTCTGATATGGGGCTTAATTAACATAAGTTATGAAAATTTCCCACATATTAATTAATTTTTATTATTACTTTAAAGAATATAAACATGAAATTAATTTAACTTGTAATCTAAAATTCTAAGGTGCATTTTTATTGGTTTAAAAATATGTATAAAATAATTTGCCTTTACAAAAAAGAATCAACGCAAAATATTATAAGGAAGAATATATTAGAAAAATGCAATAATGAAATGTTATTACGTTTTTGTTTTAGATTGACAGGGAATATCGTATTTGCGGTTACCATTTTCAATGTTGACAGTGTGTAAGAAATTGCCATCCATCTCTTGTACCCTGACTTGCAATGGCCCCACGTAACAAAAATGGGCTTATGTATTTATATATTACATAAAAAAATATTTTAAATCACAAACAATCGGAAGGGGGGGGGGTAATAAAATTTTACATTTGGAGGTCTTAGGGCTTTCTCCCGATACTTACTAATTCATCTAAAATTTCACTTATACACCTCCAATGTGTATAACATTGTTTCGCTTCCACGAGCTTTGCATTTTTTTATACCGAATCTTAAGCATATAGTATTAGAAGCTGGAAATGATTTTGGAGTGCGCATTTTTCCATATCATAATTTGTAATTACCCCGGTAACTATAATTATTTCGGTCATTATTATCCCTATTTCTATAATTATTATTAATTTATTTCCATCCTTATCATCATAAATAATTGTTTTATTACTGTAATTATTATATATTCTCAAAATAATTCTTCATCTCCGTCGTCAATGACGGGGTTTACTCTCTTCCGAAAGTCAATGAATGTAGGAATATACAAGATTATAAATTTTTAGCAGAAAACATATTCCCGGCCAAAAAAAAATCATACCGACTAACCACGCACCTAGTAGTAACAAGGTCAATTGCTTTTAAAAATATTCATATCCAGCCATACATAATTTGAATAATAACAATGATTATTTAAATTAAACCCATAATATTGGTAATTTATCATTCCACTTTAATTAACTAGAACTTATAAAAAAACTCAAATGGGCATTTTTAAAAAAATGGATTAACCTTTTTTATTTATTTCTTGACGTAGGTCCAACTCTAAAATGCTCTTTTTGCGGCTGAAACTGTATGATCCATATATGTTAACAAGACCAGCTTGATAGACCCAGAGATCGAAAAAAGATTGCAGGTCTTTGCCTAATAAAATATTTAATATGATTGTTAACAAATCAAGAATAAAAAGTTATTGAAAATTTATAGGCTTTCATTTAATTTTAAAAATTATATTTGGCACTTTAACAATTTTTTAAAAAATATATATGTACCCGTAACAGTATAAATGAATTTCAAAAAACTGGATACAGATAAGAGCATATTATTCCAAGCGTCTAAATGATCTTTATTTGGTTTTGTGGTAGAAGCGTTAGTAGCCAATGTAAGAAGCTTGTTAAACACCTAATTAATAAAATTTAAGTAATTTATTAAATATTCATCATATATAAGCAAATTATCTTCTAAAAGTTGTTCAGTCATCTTATATCTTGGGGGAGAAAGAATGAATTTTATATGCGAAAAGCATTTTACAAGGTTAGCCCATTTAATTCTGAAGAGACTTTAACAAATAAATCATAATTTTTTATCATTATCAATATTTATTTAATAGTCTTCGTGATTCTAAATAAATTAAAAAAATAAATGGCGTAAATGAATGTTTGTTTAACAAGTCACTAATATAAAGTAATCACATTATTTATATATTTGTAAAACAAGAGTATTTAATATTCACTTGAATAAGCATATTTTTTCCAATTCGATATTGTATCATGCGAACAAAGAGCCTAGCCTTTATTTCTAACATCTTAATGTAACGAGACGACGAGAAAGATGGGTAAAGATTGAAGTATGGAGGAAAAGGTTGTTGGGTAAATTTTTTGTTCTGTTCGAACCAAAAAGCTTCTTTTTGGTTGTTGTAGTTTTTACTTTCCTTATTATGATGCTTATGTTTTCTTTTAGTGTTTGTCGAATCATCGAACCCGCGAATCTTTTCGATAATTTTTGAGGCATCTAATAGAACGGGTGACTTTGAGGTTTCGTATTTGTATAAAGTCTCCATGGATTTGTGAACGAAATAGCGGTATTCGTTGTAGCCTTATTTGTGATAGACACAGTGCATTAATATTTATAAATATTATTATAATTTTATTTCAAGAGACCTTATAATTTACTAAATAATCATAATAAAAGGATAAAATCATTGTGATAAATATAATTAAATCAAATTTAGATCTAAAAAAAGAAATATTGTAAAAAATTGACAAAAACCGTAAAAATATTTATATAACCTTAACCTTTTAAAACCCATAAATACAATCTTTTTTATTAAATAATCGTTTGTTATATTATTAAATCATTACTAGTTATTATACAAAACTAAGTTTGTACTAGTAATTATAATGATTCTAACCTTTGGTCCGCTTTGTCTTTAAAAGTTAAAAAAAAATGCAGATATATATTTTTTCTGTTTCCATACCGAACACTTTTTGAATGTACAAATCGGTTATATAACCAGATATTCCTAGCAAAAGCCAATATTCTGTCACTAACCAGCTCGTTAAAAATCGACCAAAAAATTGCAGAGCTATTGCTAGAGCTAAACAACGTCTAGTTATCCAAACCTGATCAATAATCTTTTAAAAAATTATATAATATGATATATAAATTAGATTTTGGAAACCTTATTCACTAATTTGCTCACTTAAATAATAATAAAGATAGGCGAAAGACAAGAATAAACATTCACTTTTATTTTAAAACAAATTGTATCTAATTTTTTTTTACAAATTAATGGTGATCTAAATAAAATTCACCAAAAAAAATGTTAACTTTCTCACATAATACCATAATAGGCTACCATATAATTAATTTAAAAAAAGAACTAGAGGGTTGTATAACAATCTCGCGTCAATAATGGAGAAAGTAGCAAACGAAGCGAATCCATCAGAATTGTTAAACCCAGTAAATTCGTCCACAAAAATTTGCTTGTAACAGGAGAAAGGGAAACGAGAGCTCAAGAGTTCTTCATAAAATTCAAATATAGTGTGAACCTATAATTTCAATATTAAAACAATATATTATTTTACAGTAGTTTTATATCAAACAAATTTTTGGTGCACCTGACCTGAACCTCTCAACTTTAAAATAGTAAGAAGAATCTTTTTTAAATGTAGTATATAATTAGAATAATAAGGTTTGCTGGATATCTTGATTTAAAAAAATCATTGATTAAAGGCATATAAAAAAATTCTTAGTACATAAAATATGTAAGAGTACTCATTTTAACATTAAAAAAAGTTTGAATTTTAGGTTATAAACAAAAAATTCTTAACTAGACTCAGGTTCATCCACCTAACTTTTAAAAAAATTCGATCTATATCTTACCAACCTTAGTTTATTTTTCAAAAAAAATTCTGTCCAAGTCAATCTTGCCTGGCCCTCATATCATAGATCTTCAAGATGGGAATGGACCAAAAATATTTTAAACTCAGCAACTAGCAAAATATTCTTTGGGCTGGAAAATAAGGAAAAAATATCTTGAGGCTGATCCTGAATTTTTTAAACCTTGAATAATGCCAATATATGATTTTTCTATAAGAATTCATTACTGGCTAGGCTTGGCTAAAATAAAATAGACCACAACCTGTGAAAAATGTTTATTGGGCCGAATTGGGCCTAAAAATTAGTACCAACCCCTTAAAAAAAATTCTTGATGGACCAGTTTGAGTTAATCTCTACTTAATCTTAAGGTTTATAGAAAAAAAGAGTATCTCTAAATTTTGATTTTAATAATCTTATAATTAAATATTTTTAATTTAAGCAATACTTAAAGTGTATAAATAATACAAAAAGACATTACATTTCTAAAAAAAATTACCTGACTATTAGTATATACCATAGAGGGTGATTTTAAAGTAGGAAGACAAAAATTAGTTAATTCATGCATATGAGGATCAACATCCATTTCAAAATGACCACCAATAAATCCTATAAAGGGTGCAGCTGTGGGAACATTCAAAACATAGTGAAATGTTTTTGAAAATGTACTGTGAACAAAATATTCTTGATTCTTATTTAATATCTTTTCATTATCTTTTAATTCCTTTTTAACATTTATCAAATCTCCACAGGCTATGATTGTCATTGGTAGATTATGTTTTGGACAACATGACATAGAATTATTATGCAAATCAACTATTTCATGTTCTTCTATTACAACTTTTATATCCCATGTACATACTTCTGAAAAAGAATCAATACAAGGTATCCACAATCGAGATGATTGATTATATAAATCATATCCCCCAATAGTATATATATAATTATAGTTGCAATTTAAAAAATTTAATAATTCAGTATTAGAATTGTAAATTGAATCAAAATGGTCACAGGGAAAGTTTAATTTATGAAAGGCAATCCCACCTTTAGGATTCTTTATTGAAAACTTAATTAAAATGTTTATATTTTGTTGTTTTTGTTCACAAATATTGTCATCTATCATTTTATTATTATTAGTTTTATTCATATCAGATGCATTTTCAGTTTTGAGATACAAATGGTTTGTTAGAGATATAAAATTTTCAGGCAATTTAATAAAAAGTTCACCTCTATTATATTGGGAGTCTGTTGATGGTAAAATTTTTGATCCATATATATCACAAAATTTATTTAAATTTCTAATATCTTCATCACTCACAACTTGTTTACTACTTTCTTTATCGTCAATATTCTTTGATGCATTTAAAGCGTCTAAAAGAGGGTCACAATAATCAAAATCTAATAATTCTTCTTTATTTAAGTATATTTCTAATATTTCACATTGTCTACAATTCAAATAAAAATATTTAAAAGAGCCTTTAGAAAGAGGAATTATTTCAAGTTCTGTTGTCCCGTATATTACATTATTCCTAAAATCAATATTAATTGTCAAGCTTTGATGTATAATTTTAAAATTTCTTTGAGTCATTTATAAAATAAAATGCATGTGTGCATTTATTATAAAGTTAACATATGTTTTTGTAATTTTTTCCTAAATAAAAACCTAGGCTAATGCTTTAGAGTTCACAACTATTATATACTTTAAGATAAATTACAATTCAGTCATTTGTTTATTCATTGTTAAAATATAATAATAAATAATCTATCTATGTTTTAAAAGGGGTTCAATAACTGTTCAAAATAAGAAATCTTAAGATCTTAATTCTTGATGATCAAATAAAGTTAGAACAAAGTATCAATTGTAGGCGTTTATTAAAAATTAGGGTTAAAAAGTGCCTTTCTAAAAATTTTAATGAAATTAATTTAGTAGTTTGGCGCAGTATTGTTAAAAACCGACTTGTCTCAGATTTGGCAAATAGAAGCCTAAACTAATGTTGTTTAAATCCCAATTTGGGCCGATTTTTAAAAATGGCCAGAATTAAAATTTTAGCTAAAATTTATGCAACCCTGAGTATTTTGCTAATAGATAGCAGAATGGTTTAGATCTATTTGCCAATTCTCGAGGCTTGCTTAACATTATTTTTTCTAAAATCCTAATAGATCATTTTTAAAAATCGACCCAAATCGAGCTTTTTAACAACACTATACCAAACTATATTAAATAAAAATATTCATATTACATATAATCATTTATTCATAACAAACAAATAACGGATATACAATAAAAATTGGATAATGATTATATATTAATTAACGAATATAGTATTTAATAATATATTACATTATGAACATATATATATTTAATAATATATTACATTATGAACATACATATATATTTTGATTATATCAATATTAAAATATATATGTAAAATCATTTAATTATATAATCAATACCACACAAACTTTTCTGCCATCTATGAGCAAAATCTCCAAGCTTACATAATACTATTTTGTTTTTAAAAGGCCATTCAAATTGCGTTTTTTATCAATACTATTAGTAGCGTCACTGGGAGGAAGTCGCATGGGCTCGAGCCCCCTAAAAATTTGAAGAACCCCCTCAAAATTTTGAATTTTTTTATACCACTAAAGAAAGGGAAAAAAATAAAGGTAATTTTGAATGATATCATAGCTAAAAAAATAGAAGATAATTTAATAATAATTTTTAAAAATTATTTTGAACCACCTGAGATTGTAAAAGCTAATGACGCCCTTGCATACTAGATTAGAAGTTTAGAGGTCGAAGTTTCTCGATTTGTCTAATCATACGTTACGGGCTAGATTAACTGTGTTTGCCTAATTAAATCGCCTTGCTATAAATTTTAAAAATGGAGCTTATTATTAAATATAATGGATTAAAATTAAATAGTTATTTTGGGAAATAATTATTCCAATATTAAGATTTCTCTAAATATTTTAAAGTCGAAATGGTTTTTAGTATCTACGGTTGAAGGATATAAATATATTGTATTGAGTACTTTTTATCATTTATAATTACAATGTCTTATACTTGGATGATAAATCTCTTAGTTTGAGATGGTTTAATTTTAGAAACTGTTTGATTTCATTCCAACAGCTTTAAAAGATACCTTTAATATAATTTTTATCAAAATATATTTATAATTTGTTATATATCTTTACCTATATTTAATAGAGAACTTCCAAAAATATATACTGGAAAAACAGATTCCACAAGACACATATCCGAAATATTAGAAAATACTGGAAGAATCGCCAAATGACGAAAAGAGAAATATTTCTTACCCTTCATATAAAAAAAACAAAAGTACAACTGCTATCCACCATATATCATTAAATTCATTAATACGTATTATAAAAAATAAAACGTTATGATATAAATATATTAAGCGATATATGAAAATTGAATATAAAATACCATACTTATGAGTATAGTTGGGTAATAACCGATTTTTTTTGGCTAAGGCTAATTTTGAGCCGATTAATTTTGGCTAATAAAATTTTAAAATCTCGAATATGACAATTGCCACCCTTCTGAATTACATTATTATTGGATTTCCACTAAAACAGATTTAAAATATTAATTTTTACCAATTTCATTAAAAACATTGGAAAAGTTTTAAAATGATGAATATGACAATTGTCACCCTTCTGAATTAAATTATTTTGAAATTTACAGTAAAGCAGGGCATTTTAAATCAGCTTAAGCTCAACCTTAGCCAGAATAAATCGGCACCGGCTTAGCCAAAAAAATGGCACAGGCTTAGCCAAAAAAATGGCTCAGACTTAGTCTTAGTCAAAAAAAAATCGGCTCACAGAAAAAAATCCGCTTAGACTTAGCTTTAGCCAAAAAAAATTAGCTTAGAATTAAACTTAGCCAAAAAAATCGGCCATGCTAGGCCGAATACCCAATTATACTTATGAGTTCCCATTTTAAAAAAATATTATTATTACATTGTGTTGTTCCCATCCCTTTGCATTTTGGTTGAATAACGGAGAGATAATGGAATAAATATGAAAGTGAATAATTGATACAAGAATTATAAGGCAAGATAGTTATTTTTACGTTTTTATGTTAAGCGATGTATATAATATTACTCTACTTCGAATTTTATTTTTAAAGTTGCATCCAAAGCACGATTTTTTTATTTACAAATTTTGAAACCTTTAATATAAACTTTTTTAAAAATATAAAAATATGTACAAAACATATTTAAAAATTTTTTTCATAAATTTGACATATGATTTCATTAAAATTTTAAAAGTTTATTAAAGTTTAAAACTTTTGGTGTTTTTCAAACAGGTTTTAGAAGCAACCTAATTTTAAATCTCACTGATTGAAATATGTAATAAAAAATTAGATTATATATTGTATTAACATAAAATGAATGATTTTTAAATGTATATTTTTAGATATACTATTATATATAAACGATAGGAAAATTTTACCTATCGATTGCTAGTAATATTCTAACATTTAGTTTAAAGCATTCTTTAATGCGACATTATTGTACTGATCTTTTGATCTAATTTCCTTTTGAAAATTTTTAGAGTTAAAAATATTATTATATAAATAATTAATATATTTTGGAAATCATATATATTATTAGTACACATTATTCTTTTGAGAATGTTAGGTGAGAGGTGACGATATGTTAATTTATAGCCTAAAATTAAATTTGAAAACTCCCTATCCCCCTAAAATATTTTCTATTATGTAAAGAATTTCTTGAGATAACTAAAATCAAGGTAAGCAAATTGGTTTTTTAGGACTGAATGAGAACTATTGCCGCCATTAAATACATTTCCTTTGATAGATCCAATTATTATAAATCCAAATCTCTCAAAGGTAGGAGCTAAATAAATCCCAAAATTTATTATGGATAATATTTTTTTTTTGATACTGTTCTTAATACAAAATTTTGCAACGATTTCTGAAATGCCAACGTGATTATAAAATTTCCGAATCATTTGGTAAATCTTATAATTTTATCGTATATCTCCTATAAAATACTCATTTTTGTATTATTTAAAATTAAGGGTTAATTTTATTATTTTTGCAAAAAAAGATTTTTCAGTTTCTAATAAGCTCCAATTCTAAAAAAAATAAAAATAAAAACTGAGTTGTTTCACATAGTCAATCTAAAACTAAATAAAACTATTACTACATAAAAATACGTTTTTCTAAAGTACCTTTTCATAAGCGTTATTTTATTTAATGTAAAAGCAATTTAAATTCATCAAGATCGAACTGAAAGTATCCAATGGTAAAGGACACATTTTAATTTTTTTTAAAAAAAAGAGTTAAACCGATATTTAAATTAAAATATTTTCAATTTTAAACTTCATTTTACAGGCTATTCAAACAATTCAGAAATCGTTGATTACCTCGTCTTACTTTAAAAAAACGACAAAACATAACTAATGATAAGTAAAGATCAAAGGCCCAATCCAGGCTGATAAAAACTAATCGGTGGGGTAGCTAGTAGAAATAAATAAAGCTTTAAATTGGTCTACATGAAGCTGATAATTTTTCGGAAATGGATCTGGTCAGTAGCAGGTTGTGAATTGAAATAACAACGAAGATATGACTTTTAGATATCAAAATCTTGATATAGATAATTTAAAAATAATCAAGTGTATTTAATATTTCTGGAGATTTCTATATAAAATTATGAGTGAATTGAATAGTTAAAATTTTATAATATAATATATCATTTTTCGATTATTGTTGGGCTCAAAGTTAGAATCAAAACCTTAGCATTTGCGGTCCACTCCACTTCTTTATATTAAAAAAATCCACCAATTTAAAAAAATTGTTAATAAAATATTGTTGTTTTAGTGTTAAATGACATAGTATTTTTTGAAATAGTTCTCCTGTAAAATTGATAAAAATCTTATTGAAACCTTATAATAATCAAGCGACGATATAATATAGACATGGTAGATTTGTAATTTTATTGTAATTATATAATATTATTTATTTAGTATATATTTATTTATTATCTCTATAATTATTTATTTTTCGCAATATATCAATGGAATCGAATCCGTTTATAATTATAACCTCTTTATTTTAAAAAAGAATTTGATTTTTTTTATTCCATAATATTTTGACGAGATTTATTCCTCTTTAAAGTCATGGAAACGATGATACATATAATTATAATTAAAAGAAGAGGACCGGACACCAGGATAAAAATAGTATTGGCCTTACGTTTGAATATACCTGGAAACAATGTATGTAAGTCATAAAATTAGTATAGTGTTAGTTATATATTATATAATTATTACGAAACCATATTGTTGTATTCCATAATGCTAAATATCATGTCACTCAAATTTGTAATAATCCGGGCCTTAACTACGGGGGGGGGGGGAGGCTTTGAGGAAATGTCATACAAATTTGTGGCCCCCAGCGAAATATTGAAAATTTTGTGTTTTTTATTATTTTCATAAATAAAAAAATATATTTTACATAAATTTACCTTAATATTACATAAATTATCATTAATAATACAAATTATGTTTAATTACATAAATTATGATTCATTTTCCCGATTTTCATTTACTAATTATTTATATTTTGTTATCTAATCTGCTTATTAATCAAAAAATAAAAGGAAAGTTATCGAAATATTTCTGGTTGAATCCAATCGAAATATGCAATTTCTGATCAAAATATGTAAATATTTTAGGCCCTACCATCCCCACCAATGTCCCCTAAGAAAAATTAATAGTTATGGCCTGGATAAGTGAAAATCGCTTGTATTATGTTCGAGATTAGAAAGCATCCGGTAATTCCAGAATTCTCTTGGGGGGGGGGAGGTAAAAATATTGTTAAAGCATAGAATATTGAAAGTTTTATTTCCCTGTTATGTTTATGTTATTTTTATTTAGATTTTATTGGACAAATAAAACAAAATAATAAGAAATTAGATTCAAAATCATATAATAACATTTCAAATATTAATTTAATATTTGTATTCGTTAACTAATGAATCGATTTTATTCAAATAATGTAAACATAAATTTTAATAAATTAGATAATTATGCTTATATAACAAACAGTATATCTATAAATAAATTTAGGATTAAAAAGCTTATCCATCACTAAATCTAAGCATAAGTAATAATAAAAGTTTATTTAACTATAATACGATTAAAATTTGGAAGAATAAAACAGTCATTTTTTCCTATTATAAATTTGTTTTAAGCATAACCCTGGACATTGAACGGAACTTGGGAAAAATAATGGAACGCTAACAGAATAGGAACAGTGATTACGAGAATGTTCTGAAAAATGTGAAATTTTTTTATGCTCAATTTTTAATATTTATAAGAGTTTATTAATAAGAAATTTTCGTTTTTCTTTGTTTAATTCCAGTTCGCGTCAAATAACAAAATATTATTCATATTATTAACTTAGTATTCATTTAATATTTTGTGATTTTAAGATTAAATATTTTTTCTTAAAATCAAAATTAATACAAATGTAATAAATGTATCAAATTTCAAGATAATTTTATCCCCAAGTTAATATTGATATCTATTTCGACATTAAATTATATAAATGATAATCTTTTAGAGAATGCCTTAATTAAAACTTAGATGCAATAATTGAGTTGTATAAATATTTAATTTAAATATTTTTATAGGATTTTATGAAATTTAAATTTCAGTCTTCATGTAAAATTTTACATTTATTGAATAGGGTTTTGAAAAGAAAACCCTCTGTATTATCTTTAATTTATTATTTATTGACAAATTAAATTTTTAATGATTTCAATATAAACTCTCGATAATGATAAAATATGATTCCATAATATGTTGCATTTATCATTTTGTGTTTAGGATTTATAAGTTTTAAAAAAATTGAAATTTTAAACATACCTAAACACAAGAGATGCCAATTTGGTTTTAAAATTTAGAAACCCTAGTTATAATCCCACCCCTTTTTCGCAAATAAATATCTGGGTGATGGCTATTACTTCTAATAATATGATTACAAATTAAATCTTAATTTCCTATCATTATTTAATTATACTACAGTGCATGCAACATTTAGGAAAATAGCGACATTATTTAATTTAAATTATTTATTAAATGAATATACAGCGATTAACGACGATAAAAAACACAATAACAATAAATTCTTTCCAACATGCGATTTTGTAGCTTGGCCTTTCTTAGCGGAACCTTTAATTATTATATAGCAAATTGTTATGAAAAAATGAAGTAATGACTATAATAAATGACATAATTCTACATCAAATTACACATATCGAAAAATTCGATAAAAATAACTATGCTTAAAATTGTTAAGAATATTGACATTTATTTGAATTTGACAGAATGAATTAATATTTAATAGTGCTGTAAAGGAAGGTAGAAGAAAGTAAAAAGGCATTATAAAGTAACAAATATTTGAAATATACCAAGTAATAGGCACGGGTTACTATTTTTGAAGTAGCATTTAGAGAAAATGAATTAACATATAAATGAAGTATTAAATTATGGAAAAACTAATGTTGCCTGAGTTGTAATCCATTCTAGAATTTGTATAATACATATTCTATTAATTTCAGACAATTTCGCAGTAAAATTTTGAATTAATTGAAATTTAAAACGACATTTCCAATGTATTTTATATATTAACCCCAAAATTTTATTGTATAGTTTTCTGTAATTTAGGTTCTATACAAATGCTGGAGTACAATCCCAGTATAATCAAGTCTCCAAAATTTGAAAAATGTGCGTTATAAATGATTTAAATTTTATAAAAATTGATTAAATGTCTTGAATTCTCTAAAACCTAAAGAGTACGACATATCCAACAAAAATTAGCTTAAATAAAAAAAATAAAGACTTGTAGCAAATGGAAGTATAAATTAATCCTTATATTACAATATTTTTCATCACTATCGTCTTCGGAGCCACAATTAGATATATGATTGCAACGTAAACTCGAGTCGATACAAAAATTTGACTTTTGACAAAGATACCCCTTTTGGCAGATCGGATCTATTATATAAATATACATTTATGAACAATTTATCTTTCTTTCCCTTTACAAATGATATGCTACAAAATTATTTAGACGGATAGAATTTCATTTATTGGCAACAGTATATTTTTTTATCCTTTTAAGTGATAAAGTATTTAAAATTAAAAAAACACTATACTCAAATAGAAATATTTAGGTGTATTCTAAACTATGAGGTACTTGAGCTGAACCAGTTTTTGTCACTTACTATTCCTCTAGAGACCAACCACTAATATAAAATTTACCAATGTAATGTCTTTATTCGTATTTAACAGTGTTTGAAAATCTTGAAAAATTTTTGAGCAAATATTTTGAAAATTGTTTTTGAAGAGGATAGATATTTGATCATATTTTAGCTAATAATGCCTAAATATTTTTTTAGAAAAGAAAGAAAGAAACTTTTATAAGTAAATCTTTCGTAATTTTCATGCACAAAAAATCTATCAAGATGAAATCCAAAAATAAATCTTCAAAGATTTTTGCTTAAAAAGCTTTTTTAAAACTCTGATATTTATATATAAATCAATAAAAATTTCATTTGCAATTAATTAAATTGTTAGTTTACTTGACATAACTTCCGTCCAAGAAACTCGAAAACCTTTGGAACCTGTCGCTCTCTTTGAAGATATAAATCTTTTTTTAAAAAATAATCATTAAAAAAGAGCTTAAGCGGTAAATATTTATGAGCATTTCTCTCCTATAACAATCACAAAAAGCCACAAAAAATAGCTTAAAGTTATCTTATTGAATTTAAATATATTTTTGATTGTGAGAGCTAATTTGCCTCTACCAAGCAACACTACATAAATATAATGCATAATTGGAATTATTTTTGTTTAATAAAGTTTACTAAAATAAATTAAAAAGAGTATCAATAAGTACATTATATTATTTTATCTACTAATATAACATTGTCAGGTTCGTAACCAAAGGGGAGGGGGGAAATCCATCCCATCACAAATTTGCCTGTTCTCGTAAATATTATTTTAAGCTAATAAAAATTTCTTCCCTATACATTCCCCTCCCTTTCCCCAGAAAATATATACAATATATCACTATAAGAAAAAATTTGAAAGAAATATTAGTAAAAGTTAATAATGACTATAATTCAAAATTTTTAGAAAAAAAAACATTTTAATAAAAATTATTTTTATAAAAATCTCATTTAAACAAACGCTGAGAATAAGTGAACCTAAAGATCTCCAATAAAACTTATGAGCAAAAACCTTACCTAATAACCTCCCCCCCCCCCCCCCCATAGCAAAATCCTGATACGCCTATGAATATTATTCACTATTATTATTCAAAAATTCAAATAGACTAAAAATTTACAGTGAAATAATTAAATTGAATATGTGTTTTAAACCATTATGAAACGAAATTATTATTTAAATTTATTTTCATTATAACATCTATCTTTATTATACCTTAATCGAATAGTGTTATTAATCGAAAGATAATCGCTTTGATTAGGAAATGGTTTCGGCCCACATAGATATTTAGGTGGGGCAGAGAAATTGGTCCATATCAATAAGGCCGCATCAGAACAACCAGTTTCTAATTTACCCTCCAAAATAAAATTAATAAGGGTTAATAAGACTCGATTCTGAGGTTTTACCCATATGAACCAATCGCACGTAAGACTAACTTGATATTTGTAAGGGTAATTAGGGGTTTTGACTATACCACTAATTGCTGGTGCAGTAAAATTGTGATTACAATCTTGTTTTTTATTGTCGAGAAGAGAAACGAAAGAATATTGGCATAAAAACCCTTCTGCCGTTTCCTAAATATATATATATTTTTTAATAAAGGATTAAAAATTGGTTCCAAAATAAATTTTAAAGGAGGGCTTTAGCCTTTGGCTCCGATTCCAAACTCTCATAATAATAATTATTAAAATAATTTTTCTTGTCTCACTAAACAATTTCAAAAATGTTCTTACTAGGTTTTGCAGAGTGGCCTAAAGATGCTTCTTAATTTATAAATCTATTTTTGAGCATATTATTTTTTATTTTACAACAAAATATTTTTTGGCACAAAACATTTGATCCAGAATGGAATTCGACTTTGATTATTGAGACATCATTTTCAGATTCGATGGGAAACGGAGATTTTTCCCCGCAAAAAATTCCCAATAAATCTTCTCTCTCATCTGACCATACATTGTATATTTTGACATAATCCAAGGCACATCTATTTATAAATTTAAAGTATTTTATAAATTTAAAAAGTGATCTTTTTCTTAATCTAACTTAATCTCATCCTTTTTTCTGTTATATCTAAAAATAGTAAAAATCCCTTATTTAATGTATTTTGCGTTATCGATCCCAGCAGATCATCTGGAGTGTTACTTTTACCCCTTCTATTTTTATTTAAATCGTGCTCAATGAAAACCAAAATATAGAATATTTTAGGCTGGATGTAAGCATGTCATTGAAAAGATCACAAAAAGCACCTTTCTTCATCTCCCATATTGTCGGAATTATTGGAATTCTTTTGAGGTAATTTGAAATGTTCGAAAGTAAGTTTAATATTTTCTCCGGGCAAACCTTTAAATATGTATAAGCACGATGATTTAAGTGGGTAGTTAGCAGGATGTCTAGGGGAGTTAAATGATCCACTTTTTTGACTAGAACTCATGAAAGTGAAATCGCATTTGGATTTTTCTGGATGAGGTGTTCCCGGGATTCCAAAATCTAATAATTAAAATAAAAATGAATCATTATTTTGGTTTGATGTAAAATGTAATTTATCGTGTACAATTATTATTTTTTAATATTATTGGTTCAAAGCTGGGTTTATATTTATAAATATTATAAGGTTTTTTTATAAATGTGAATATATGTTTAAGAATAACAGTAGTGTTGTTGAACGACCCGATTTAATAGATTTTGAATTAAGATTTTAGCAAAAATAATATTATGCAAGCCTCGAGATTCCGTTAATAGATTCCCAACCAACTCTCCCATCTATGAGTGAAATTTCCAGGCTTGCGCATCAAAAATCGAACCGTTTAAAAACACTAGCAATACTATAGTAAGTATAGGTTTTAAATGTAAAAAAAAATATGAAGTTTATGGTTAGGCTTGTGATATGATTCAGGGAATTCTAAAGGTTACTAATTGATTATGATATTGGAAAAATTTATAACTAAAGTTATTCCTGAGAAAAAAGTAAATATCTTTTTCATCGATTTTAAATTATAAAGGTTAGGCTAGCTCATTTTAGGTTGCATCCACTGTTTGGAAATACAAAGAGTGCTACATAATGATAAAGTTTTGAAAATTTTGCAAATATATGTTCTGGCCATATTTTTATTTTTCTCTTAAAATAAGGTTTATTTGAGTATTTTTCGATAAAGTTTTGAAAGTTTTCTAAGTAAATTTTTTAATGTTTTGGGACAGTCGTAATTAGGTATAAAGATTATTTTCCGATTCTAGTAATTATGATGGTTCTTCCCAGTTTCTTGGTTCACTCCGGATCCCTGATTTCAAATAATAAAATATATATAATTTTTGCCCATCTTTTACAAGTTTTGACAAAACATAAAATTCAATTATTTTTTTTTTTAAAAAAGCATAATGTGAAAAATATATTAATGACACCTGTGTCAAAGTCATACCAAATTTTGAACCCATTGCCAATCGAATTTCCACTGTGAAATTTTAATAAGAGTAAATGGCCACTGGAGGATATTATATTAGGCGGCTGTAGATTACAATATTTGGCATCGGGGTTTGAGTCAATTAATTCTCCATCCCTATGTTTGTAATAAACTCCTAAATAGGCATCTGAACATCTTAGTTTATATCAAATATATAAAATCATAAATAGATGTATGTGGGTACATATTATATACAATTAAGATATAAGATAGTTATGATATAGTTACCTGGTTGAATTATTGGGTATGTCAAATATTTGGAAAAAGAGGAGAACTTTTTCCAAATTCCTTCTGTCTTTGAGGCCCTAATAATTTATTTTGTCATAAATCATATAAACTTTTAATTTGTTTTATACCCCGTCCTAGCTTAACCAAATTATCTACAAAATTTTTCGCGAATTAATGTCATCAAATTTATACATTTCTAGATAAGTAAATAATTTCTATTAAATAAATTTGTGAATTATACATTTTTCCTCCCAAATTAAAAAAATAGTACTTTTTTTAAAATATTACTTTTTTGAAATAAATATTCATGATAATTGGTATTTTAATAGGACGTTAAAAAATTAAACTAAAATACCATCGTGACTAATACAGTTGAGCTAGGATGAGTTATTATTTTTTATAAGTTATATAATACTTTGATTAAAAAAATTCATATTCGTTTATTTAAAATATGTAACTTTTAATTTTAACTAATGATTTGTAGGTTTCTAATTTCACTTTGATCAATTTTATAGGAGAGCTATTAAAAAAAACCATACCATCTGTTTAACATTAGAATGGAAATATATTTTATTACATCCAAAAATAAATTTTCAATAAATTTTTGGTGGTATTTTGTGGGCCCTAATCCAATTTGGACCAAAATCAAATTTATAAAACCCTATATATACCTAAGATACGATATAGGTAAAATTAAATAATACACGGATACTTTTAGGTAATAGAAGCAATCGAGGTTTCTTTTGTAAGATTGTGGGAACATTGGTGAGAACATAGTTCCATTGGTTTCGCCCAAACTTAAAATTCGTTGATCGCATTCTGGATGATGAATTATTTATTAAAAATAATTTTTTAAAAATATTATAATCGATTTTGCTTGATTATACTATCCATAAATAAAATTATAACCTGTTCCTATGATGTGATAACCGGGGTTAGATATAAAATCTACAAAAGAAATAAAAAAATAAAATAAAATTATAGCAAAAAATGAAGTATAACATAAAATATATTTAAATTAAATTGTTATAATCTGCGATGGCTTCAAAATATCTGATTTTAAAAATTCCTTTAAATCTGACGTCGCTGGGTTAATTATATTTAGGCCTATATTAAAAAGTTTATATTTTTTTTTAGGTCTCATTTGTAGTAAACGCGTTATGTTCAAGCGGTGCGTTATTTGCAAAATCAAGTAATAAATTAGTATAATTTTTTTATGGAGCGTTAATGATGATAACGCTATGATAAAATTTGAAAAACATATATTGCATCGTATGTTTCAAAAATTATTAACGCTACGAAGAATAAGAGTGTTTTCAATAGATTTAAATAACGCAACGCCTGCACATAACGCGTTTACTATAAATAAGGCCTTAGGTTTGCTCAAAAAAACATTTTCCTGCTTAGGTGCCTGAGCATGCTCTTGCCCTTTCTCAGCGATGTGCCACTTGATTTGTTCTATATCCTAAGGAGAAATATTTTTTAGTTTATTGTAAACATCTTTTTATGATTTTAAAACCATTTTATTTCCATATATTTAAAATATCTAATTTACTTATGATTTCTTATATTGAAAAATCCTTATTTGCATATAAAATTTTATATTTTATGATTTATTTATATTCTAACATACATATTTTTGTTAAAAGCAGAGTGAAAGAAATAAGGTATTGAGTATATTTTCCGGGGGGTTGCAGGATAATAGAACGAAATAACTTTTAAAAGTGGGCTATATCATTTGCTAATGATACTTTATGGCGAGGGGGGGGGGTAGGTTGCACATATTGAAATGCATTTGCGGCACAGATTTTTTAATTTAAAAAACGCGCTCAATTAATGATTAAAAATATTTAAAAAAAACACCATCAAATTATCGCTTTACTTATATTTTGTATGTAATAAGAAAATTGAAAAAATTTTGCAAAGGGGGAGGGGAGAGTATGGGTTGTGTTCCCTCTCCTCAGTTGCGATACTCAATGCGTGAGACGGAATAGTTTGTCAAAATACTGTGATAAAGAGCAGTAGACCTCAAAAAAATACGATTATTCGTATTCGTATGAAAATAAAACACTATACGATTCGAAAATTAAAATTTTTTAATCAAAAGTGAAAAATAAATTTTAAAAAAAATGATTTCTGAATGAAATAAAGTATCAAAATAAAAAGTGTCACCAGGAACATGTTGAAAACTCACTTACGAATAATTTCGAATAATACGAATACTTTCTGATAATTTTGAAACGAATAATACGAATATTTTTAGAATAATTTTGAATTAATCGATTGAACAATGAAAAAGCTGTTTATTAATCGATGAATAATTTTATTCAAAAAATACGAAACGAATAGTATGGAATATCGAATAATGAATAACTTATTTTTGATATAAAAGCACGATTAAAATAGGAATAACCCTGCATTCACAGTTACAGCGCGAAGATACAAAAAATGTAGGGTAAAGCAGTTGTAATAAGATTCAAATTGTGTGGATTAGAAATGAATGAGTTAAAAACAGTGTACATGCTCAAAAATATAGGAAGAATAAAAATAGATAAAGTTACCTGCAGCTGGGAAACTAGAAATAGAAGCATTATTTAAAAATTTTATATAAATGTACAAAAAGATTATTAACTTTTTGTGAATTTATATTAAAACCAATATAGATTGGTAATAGTATAGAGAAAGGTGGGAAAATGTTGCAATAATTTATACTTTATATGAAAAATATAAAACTTCCTATTATTTAACGCACCTAAATTCACGATAGTGTCGTCAAAATGGAAATGTGCGGTAAATCCGGTTTTATTGAAGCGTTGAGATTCTTTGGTCACAAATTTTATCAATACATTTTTAGAGGACGAAAATACGACTTTATCTTTCATTTCTCCGCACAAAGTCGCAATCAATAAAGCATTGATTGTGTGCCCATCATAAATCTCTAACGAATCATACGGACAACTAAAAAAAGTGTCATTATTGCATTAAAAAATTTTTTTATTCGATATTTTAAATTAGTTCAGAAATGAAAATTAGAGTTTTATAGAAAAAGAAGAAGTATAATAGAAATTAAAATGATAATTTATTACAGTTAAATATAAAAAAACCATAAGGGAACGTCTTATCTTCTCTATCTTTTTTTTTTTTAGAATTCTAAATAATTTATGTATAGAATGTGACTTTCAGATTTAAAAAATAAGAATTGATACACCTTTAATATAGTGCGCAAAAATTGAGCGTTTGCGTTTTGTCGTACTTTATTTTAAAAAAATCGTGCATTGCATATCCCTTGTTTAAATTGAGGTTGCCTTTTTTTTATTAGTATCGCCAATTCAAAATTTTTACTAAGTCATGAAAAAGAATTAGTTTTTGTAATTATACTATAGATCGTCTGCCTTTTTATTAATTTCTAAATATTCTATTTTGAAAAATATTTTTAAATACATTTTATATAATATTAAATTTAATTTATATATAATCAAACAACTAGGAATGGATGTACCCCCCCCCCTCCCTTATTATTACCTGGATAATAGATGTTGACCGATATTTTGCGAAAAAACCAAGGTTTTAAAGAACCACGTGCAAAATGAACGAATAATAAAGTATTTAAAAAAGCAAACTAGTTTGCGTATTTTAAAATGGTTTCTAATGCCCAAAGGTAATTTGACTGATTTTCACGATACTTGAAATGCATCATTTGCGTTCAACGCAGCTTTTGAAACGCTCAATTTGTACACACTATAAGCGTATTTTAAAGGTATCATAATCTTATTAATTTATATTTAAAAAAAATAAAAAGTAGTATAAGCAGCTGTTTTTCTGAATTAAATTCTTAATTCAAAATTATGAACAAAAATTAAAACGAGCTAGGACACATAAAAATTTATAAAAAATTTAAAAACCCTAAATAATTTAATTGCCTTATGCCATATTTTATCTACATTACTATGTAAATAATATAATGTTCAATGTCTTTTATTATGAACATTAAAAATAATTTGCTCTTACTGATCGCCGCCATGTTCAATATTGATAACAGAAAAATTGAGTTTTATCCTTTGTCCAGGCAAACCCAAAAATTTCCAATAACAATTTAGGTTGGGGGTTAACACTGAAGGATAAGTCGGGGAAAATATGGTTCCACTAGGCAACATTGATCCATTTATAGTATAACCACAAAAATTATCTTCACCTATCTTACCTATATGATATTTAGCTAATTTTGTTTTATATAAAATTAACGAAAATTTTTAAAAAAAATAAAATAATGTTATAGTTTAAACATATTAAAAATATATATAATCATATACTAAACCTTTTTTAAAAAAAATCCTAGACCAAACTATATAAAAAATTCCTAGACCAAACTATATTGAAAAATGGAGTACAAATCATATAACTAGCATGGGGACAATATGCCTAATTTATAGTTTCATTCTTAACAGAGTTAATACGTTTAATAGAACCCAAAAATGTTATCTTATTATAGTAGAAAGACACTTGTACTCTCAAATAATTTAGTATACTTGCATCGATAAATTCGTAATGCGCTAGAAATCCTTTTTCGGTTGCATGAGTATCTGAGTAAAGGCCTAAAACAATGATGTTATGTAGGGATATTTTATCTGAAGGAAGTTCCATTCCACATAATCTCCTATCTAAATATTGATCTATTAGCTCTGCATCCGTGTTTTCAAGTTGTAAATAGACATCTATATATCCGTGGAGACATCTAATGATATATTCATATTTTTGATGATCTTAAAATAACATTGAGTAAAACTTTTCCATAATTAATACATAATTGGATATAAAATTAGAATTGACAAATTTTGGCTTCGACTTAGCTATTATTCTTATTATATCTAATTCTGATGTATTATTGCAATGAAGTTTAGCAAAAATCTAGAATACTAGGAAAATAAAATATAAGATAATTTACAAATAAATTACAAAGATTAATTAAATATAAATGAAAAATAAAAATAAATCAGGATTATATAGTCGATATAAATTTTTAACTTCACTTTATACGGTTCTAACTCAAATTTAAATTCCTCAATTTTACAGAAACACGATCATAAATACATCATATGGTTCAGAGCTCTGAAAATTCATTTTTTTCAGCCTGAGTTTAGACTGAATTTATTTATTTTCAGGCCCGAGCCTGTCCTGATCAAAAAATTTTAATTAGAAAATATTAATTACGTATATGTATAAAGTTAGATTGATAAAATAAAAAATTGAATATTGCATGTAATTATACATTTTAAATTAAATATTGAGTTAGAAAATATATATATTAGTGTTGTTAAACCACTCATTTGAGCCGATTTAAAAACGGCTAACTCACTATTTTAGCCAGAAAAATATTGCCTAAGCCTCGAGATTTCGATAATATAGGTCTAGACTTTTGTTCCTTCTATGAACAAAATCTTCAGGCTTGCGTAAAATTTTTCTGGATAAAATATTGAGTTAGCCGTTTTTAAAAATTGGCTCAAAACGAGCCGTTTAACAACACTAATATATATATTTATTTTTATTAGAATTATATGTAAATAATAGTATATATATATATGTAAAATATAACTCAGGCATGTTGCCTCCATATGAAAAATCTTTGAAGGAAATCCTAACTTTTTCACTTTTCCCAGCCACGAACCAATAAAGGCACTGGATATTATTCGGATAGTTATTTGGATATCCTGGAGTAGAAAAATTACCTCTTTTGGCATCAGAGCTTAAGAAATGTTTGTCGCAATCTAATATAAATGAAAAAAAAAATTGAATTCATTTTTTAAAAATATAATTATAAATCAATTTTGTGTTTATATTATATTTTGAAAATTGAAAAAAATAATTATATATGTCGCATTAGGTTATGGAATTCATTAGGATTTGGATTCTCTTAATTCAAAATCATTTAAGCAGTAATTTTTAAATCTGAAAAATATGATTTGACCGGAAATGCATTCCAAAGTGCATAGATTACTCACACTGTAAATTCTAGACAATTTTGTCTAGTACTGTTATAATATTTTAATTTATACCCATTTTAAAATATAAATTGAATAAGGCACAAATGTTTATGGCGAAAATTGTTTGGAATTTATATGGTAGGTAGTCTAGACATGCTGGAATGCATTTCTGGTGAAATCAGATTTTTCAAATTTAAAAATCGCCAAAAATATACAAGCGTCTATTAAAAAAGGCCGCAAGGTTTGTAGTTGGGAGAACTAGAAGCTGACTAGGCCCAACCCGGCCTATAGATTTAAATATTTCAGGTCGTGCCCCATTAATTTTTTATGAAGGGAAAAGACACAAATTTTCTTAATTCTAAGTTTAAAAAAATGCATTCTACATTTTACAGCCCCAGCCTGTAAAAGTATTTTACACAAGTTGTAAGGTCAGACCCTAAAATCTTTTTGGCTTCAGTGAGGACTGAAGAATTCCACTTAAAAAATAGAAATAATTTTCATTTAAAATTTGGATTTTTTGTTTGAGATAAATACCCAAAAACCGTTTTAACTCAAAATAGAATTTTTGATCAAATTTTGCCCAAAATTCCAATTATTTTTATATAAAAATCTTTTATAAGGAATTTTCTACGTATATAAAAATTGATTGCAAAATCATTCATTTTTATCTAGATAATTGAACAAAATATTTTGAAAATTATTAATAGAATAGATTTGTATAAAATTTATATTTATCTATTATAGGCCAGTGGGGAACGGGCGGGCAGATGCCAAAAATGAGACTATTCTAGGTGCTGCCAAATTTTGTTTCTTAGGTTTAAAATTGAAATAATTTTAAAAAGGTATAAATATTACATAAATAACTTAATTTAGATATTTTACTATAGTATTTTGTATAAATATTACCTATACCTATTATAATTCTAAGCTACTTATTTATGAATCTCATCTTAAAAATGACGAACCCAGTTTGTTATTTTATGATTTTTAAAGCTTAGGTAAATTTAGGATTTTTAAAAGACCAGTGAATTTAGTTTCCCTCTGGTACATTTTATTTGTAAAGATCTAATTATTCAAATTGTCATCAGCAACTTTGGTCGACTTTTCTAATATAATTTTATATACCAAGTAAACTTTGAACAAAGAATTTGAAAAACAAATAACAGAAAAATATAAATGATTGCCGTGTAAGTGTCGTAAGATGCCCTGTTCCAACGTGTCCTCACACCTAACTTTCCAATTTTTGTCATTAATGTTGAAAATATAATATTTTTATGTGTATACAATTTATATTTATACATTTAATATATCATCTAATGGAGGATAGTTTAAGCTTCCATTTGATAATAAATTTAAGCATCTTCGGTTAATTTTGATAAATCTAGAAATTTTCGCTGAAATTTAGGGTAAAAACACATATTATTACATAAAATATTTAGTGTCTGATATAGAGACAAATATTTTTGTCACACATTCATATGAATTTTATTCTATAAACTTTGATTTTTCAAATTAAATAAAGTGTTCTGGTGAGCCCCTGTTCCGCTTCGCATCAGTCTCAGTTAAATTGAATACTTAAAAAAATGTCAATTTACGTTATTAAATATTATGAAAATGAATAAATCCTTTCTATTTTCATTAAAAAAATTCATGTCTAAATGTGCAATTTTATTGATATATAAATTATTATTTGAATATTCGAATCCTTTTTTTAATATATTTAATAAAAACCCCTCTATCATGACCTTATTATTTATTATATATCTTAGATATTTGAGAATTCCATCAACATCAACCTTAGGATTCAACGGATATTCATTAAAATAATCCCTTCAATTATAAAATAAATTTGTAAAACTTACTTTGGAATGCTTTTGATGGTTTTAACGTATTTGAAAGGAAAAATAGGATGCAGTTCAACCAAACAAACATTTAGTTCATACGGGGACCATTTGAGAATTCCTTGATAATATATTAAGCAAGGCCGTATTATAAATAACTTGTATTGTGTATTTTTTTATTTGTTGTTTATCAAAAAGTATTTAACAAATAGGAAAAAATATGTAAGAAATTTTATCATTTTTACAATGAGATCCGAATTTTAATTATACAAAAATTATATATATTATATTTTAATTTAAGTATTAAATATCGCATTTTAATATACATTCTCTTTATTCGTTCATACCCCCCCCCCCCTTTCCAACATTATATTATAATATTGTAAAAAGAAATCAATATAATATATCTATAATAAAATTATAACCGACGGAGGATGGAAATGCTTAAGTCAATTATACGTTCTATACAAGAAATGTTATATATAAAATTACATAAGAATATAAATGATATTATATTCATTTCAATTTTGGACACGTTTTTGAATAAATTATTAAATTTCATAATTTTTTACTACTTTTCTTATTATATTTTAATGATATATATTTTATTTAAAACATTATACATATCTAATGAATAACTTGTATATTGAATACCTTAGAGATTTATTTCTTTCCAGTAGATAGAAATTCAATTAAGATTTTTTTTCAAAAATTATATAATATTAATTCATAATAATATTTTTCCCACAATATTATAACATGACATTTTAAAAATAATGATATATAAAATAAATCAAATAAAATTTTTTTAATTGTGGTATGCATTTATGTTAACTTGTCTGCCCCATCATATAAACTGTTACAGTGATAACGATATCACAAACCCATTTGCGTGAATCTATTTCCGCAAACATTTTGGAGCAAATACATTTTAGAGAAATTTTTATCGCGAACCCATTATAGTGGAACTCTTATCGCGAATCTTTTATGCAGAATTTTTTACCGCGGATGTATTTGCAATAATAACGTGAGAACATTACTGTGAAACAATGATTATATTGCTATTGCATTTATTAAGAGAAAAACTACACATTCAATAATAATTTATCCAAATTGGTTCTAAGGGTATTTCAATTCGCTATAATAAACATTTGTGATAAGGTTTTCGCGATAAAATTTTTACTGGGCTGACATGGAATCATCGAAATAGCAAATTTAAAAAATAAGCAACTTTTATTAAAAAAGATAAATTAACTAACATAATAATTTTAGACGAAATTTCTAAAATTATATTTGATATTATTATGAAATAGGTAAAATATAAAGATTCATTTATTATAGAATATTATATTGATAGCCTTGAAGATAATGGCTAATTTTTTTATAAACCAGATTTTATATATAATTTTGTTACATTTTATAAAAGCAAAAATGTATAGTAAAATAAAAACTAATTAAATATTATTTTTATAAAAATATATTATGCTAATCAAAAATAAAAATAATTGAAAATATAAATTCGAATGAAGCTTATACCTTGAATCTTGCTTGATTGGTTAAGCTGACTATATTAAGAGGGGGGGGCAGAAGGGTTGGAATTGAAGCTCCCCCTTTCCTCAAGGAAAATATGATTAAGTAAAGTTTCGTGTTTTTATAATAATTTTATCAATTTTCTAATTAGATTTTTACATAAATAAAATTTGGTATAAAAAATGTTTAAATAAGACGTTTTAAATAAACTGTAATTCGATGGAATCGGATTGACCTTTTATATTTCCAAGTGTAAAACTTATAGTATTATTTTAATAAACAGTTGATCAACCTTAGCGCATGTGAGGGTAAAAAAATATCTAATCGTTTTCTATTACACCGTAAAAAATCCATGGTATCACATTTTCCAATGATGCTACATGTCTATTTGATTACATTTTATGCGATCGCTAGTAAATTTTAAAAGTACACTGAGTTTCATATTTTAAAAAATTAGATAAAAACGTTGATTTTTTATAATGATAACTAATTTTTTTTAATATCTTTTTTAAAAATTGTTAATGCTATATTTTCGCCCTATAAATATCCTTATTTTGCCAATAACTTTTTTTCATTTATACTGTTTACCAAATGGGTTGATTGAACTAAAGTGTATTTACTAGTTAGGTATTACATATGGACCTGAGCTTTTGAATTAGTGATTTCAAAAGTAAGGTAAACTTCTTGCTTAGGACGGCTTAAAGTGAGATTCAGATTCATATCAAATTTTTCAAAATAAAACTCGATTCAAAATATAATGAGATTTTAACAATTTAAATATCAATAAAGAAGGTGGAATTATAAAATTGAAAAATGTTTTAAATGAAGGAAAAATAAAATTCAGTGTATCGGATAATTAATATCATATCCTTATCCAATCTTGTTCTATGTGAGGACAGAATATATTTCAATCCTTTCGACCGAAACCTATATAGATGAGACAGACATAGATTATTGATATAGATTTCTGGTCGCTTTAACCTTCTTCCTACCCAATATGCAGAAATATCGGTGTTTTTATTCCGTTTGATGCAGTTAAAAGAATTTATAATGGCACCTATTAATAGCTCTTTTTGTTGTGACATAAATTGACTTTTGTTATTTTCTTCCATTTACAATATGGATTCAAAAGTATCATCGGGGTCGAAACTATTTTGACTGAACTAATGGAAGGATGCGAATTATATATCATTATACCATCAAAAGTGCTTCAATTATAGACCAAGTTTGTGTAAAATATTTTCTAATCCTGTATTTTCTTATGACAATAATATTTGATATAGAGGAACAAGATTTAGACATTCTACGAATTAGAAAATTTGCAAAATATAATAATAAGATTCCTCATTTCCTTTTATGCGTATTTTTTAAAAAAACAATTACTATAATCATTATAAATTAACAGTAATATAACATAATATATAGTGGACAGGAGGTAGCTGACTATTCTGTGGCCTCATGCCTTAGTGGCCTCATTTATGGTAGCATAGCCCCCATGCCCCTTATTTTGAGGCTCACCTTTAATAGCTTTTTTTCATTTTATATGGTTTTTAATTTCTTATATTTTTGGATACTTGTCTAAGATGGGCTAAACAGTAAACACTAAATGTAGCTATTACATTTTTATAAGAAAAAGAAAAAAATACTATTATGACATAATAATCATACATTTTATCTCAAATATGCTGCATATAATCTTACTCATTGAACATTTAAAAACATATTTATCGCAATAGCGCAATAAAATAATAAATATTTCATATATAAAATCATATTAATAGTGCATATAAAATATTACATATTGCACAAAAATCGAAAGCATGAACGTTATTTTTCATCGAGAATAAAACTTATTGTGCAAATAAAATCAGGCATATTTTAAACATTTAAATATTTTTTTTTAAAATTTTGCTTAAAAAAATAATAAAAAAAAATGCTTTTTTGCCCTATAAATTTCACACTTGGAGTCTGCAAAGAGAAATCGAAGTATCCATATACACGATCATTTAAAATAAATAAGTAGTAAAAATTTTCAAAACAAATAAATATTTAATTAGATAACATTTGCCTAACATAATCTGAAAAGAGTTTTAAAAAAAACAAATTACATAATATATTATAACACATAATAGTTAAAAAGAATTATGCCTAAGATTAAAAATATTAAAGAGATAGATAGGATGGCATGAATTAAAAAAATTATGTAATTTTTAAAATGATTTTTTTCAATATTCATGAAATAAAAACCTATAATAGCAACCGATTTATAAAAGTTTATAGTGTTTTAAAAAGGTTCGGTAAAAAATTCGGTTCGGTTCAGATTCATTAATAAATATCAAATATAGGTTTGGTTTGGTTTGGTTCGACTTTTATTAGACGTAATTAGTTTTAAAATTATAATGTAAATCTAATATTTATTAATCAGCCTAAGATGTGCCGATATAGTTTTTATATCACTTTATAACTGGTTTTTGACGAATCTGATGGATGAATTCGTAAGTAATAATCAAGTATTACAAATTGGTGCACCCAGATATTCAGTGGATCTATAATTTTCGTTCTAGCATTATGCTTATCTTAACAATTTTTTTATTTTGCCAGTAATGTACCAAACGGGCTGAAGCACTAAGATGTAAGGAAGACCGGGAAAGGTTGATTTACTTTTTGTTCAAACCTCAATCAAATTAATAATATTAAACTAATCTAGATAAATAAAACATATTCTGAATCCTCAAATTATAGGCTATGTGAAATAGTCAATATATATTTTATAGAAAGGATACACTTTAAAGAAAATTTGATTGAAATATTTTTTAGAACCGATCCCGTACTCTGGGCATCTTGCTCCAACAATGGAAGATAGATCCACAAAAAAATAAAGGTCTATATATAAAATAATTTTTTTTGATGTTACTTACTAGAGGCTTTAAATTATTGATTTACTGTTATTAATAATAGGCGAGACAGGTGTTATATAGCAGTGTTTTGTTGGATATCCTCCAATAAGGTTATAAAAAATTTTTAAAAATCCGTTTCTACCCTTGATACTGGGGGTGGTATCTAGGATTAATTTAAATCATGCTTTTTATTATTAGCAAGGGTTTGATTGCAAATATAAAATTTAACATACAAATGGAAAATTTTCTATTTTTATTGTTATATTCAGCACAATTCGTGTATTATATCGAATCTCAGTACTTTCTAAATGACATACATTCCTAAAAATCAACCACCACCCCCCCCCCCCCCTCACACTCGCCCTCCCCACTTTTGGTTTTTGCCTACCTCCTTTAACTTTTAGGGAAAATAGGAAATCGAAACTATCAACATCAGTTTAAACCTTACCTCCTACTCAATCCACCCTTATTTCCTTCTCTCACTTCCACTCTTATTATATTTCAATCTATATATTGCGCCATACTCATACCCACCCCCCTTCAGTGGTAGAAGTGCGTTCTATAATGAATAGATAATGAGTCGGCTATAGAGTTAATAGCTGTTGAGCTTTACAAAATTGTTTTGGATAAGTCATTTAAAATTATTTACTCTTTAGAACGATCATTATAAATATAATCCGTAAAAATATTTTAG